CTTGGTGCCGTTCTCGGTAGCGTATCCACGGCGCAGAATCGAGGGAGCACAGGCGGAGCGGACAGCCGGGCGCAGAGTGGTGGAAGCAAGGCGCGAAGAGAACAGACGAGCTGTTGGGCGGAAAAGTCTGGGAGCTGCCATGGCGGGAATTATGATCGATCGAGTCGATGAAGAAGAATAAAGGCAAACGAAGAAAGCAATTGACGATCGCGAGACGAAGACCAGCGACTGGGAATGGAGCAAAGAAAGATGCCCTGCGGAAGTGATCGAACAATCTTTGAGATGCAAATCCGAAGATGTTGGGCTGCACGTGACCCCCGCAACTCACCGGTACTGTAACGGTACATACACAGCTCGGGCTAAGTTATCTACTTGATTTCATCTACAAGGGTGCTCGCCTCACTTCTCAAGCTTCGATTTGTACACTTTTTGGGCTGTTAGACTGATGCTTCTGCATGTATTGATCTCTAGTTGTTGAGGATGTTGCCCTTATTCTGGCTACTTCCGTCGGCGCTCGCCGCTCAACCTTCCGCACCCGAACCCATCTCCGCTCCGCTGCGCGCCCTTGATTTCGGGCAACTGAATTTCCTCCACACCACTGATACTCATGGCTGGCTGGCCGGTCATTTGCAGGAGTATGCAGCTGTCTAGCCTCTCTGGGAAGCCTTGCTAAGCCATACTGATCTATATTACAGGTCGTCATACTCCGCAGACTGGGGAGACTATATATCGTTTGCAACGCGTATGCGGGAGAAGGCAGAGGCCCGGGGACAAGACCTGTTGGTGATCGATACCGGTGACCGGGTTGAAGGGAACGGCTTGTACGACTCGTCCGAGCCCAAGGGCATCTACCTCTCGGACATCCTCCGATATCAACATATCGACTTGTTGACATCGGGAAACCACGAACTATACAAGCAGAACACATCCGAGGCTGAACTCCTCACCACCGTTCCTAATTTCCGGGGCAACTACATTGCTTCCAATATTGATATATTCCACCCCACAACCCATGAGCTTGTACCTCTCGCTCCCCGGTACAAGAAGTTTACTACCAACAAGCAGGGCATCCGTATTGTAGCCTTTGGCTTCCTCTTTGATTTTACCGGAAACTACAACAACACTGTGGTCCAGCCGGTAGAAGAAACCATCAAAGAAGATTGGTTCCAGGAGGCCATCCGGGATAAAGAGGTTGATCTGTTTCTCGTGATCGGCCATGTGCCCGCCCATTCGCCGGAGTACCGTGCGATCTTCAAAGCGATTCGGGGCATCCGCTGGGATACCCCAATCCAATTCTTCGGTGGACATCAACATGTCCGCGATTACGCCAAGTACGATGACAAGGCGTTCGCATTGGCAAGCGGCCGGTTCATGGAGACGATAGGCTTCATGTCCATTGACGGTCTTGCCACTGGAGGTAAATCCGGCATTTTGAATTCCGGCCCTGTGTTCAAGCGGAGATACATTGATAGCAACCTTTACTCTTACCATTACCATACCGGTCTCGATAAGGATACATTCCCCACAGAGAAAGGTCAGAATGTTTCCCGACTGATTGCCCAGGCACGAAGCGAGCTTGAACTGGACAAGGTCCATGGCTGTGCCCCCCGCGAGCTTTGGATGTCACGAGTCAAGTATCCTGATGATGCCAGCATTTTCACATGGCTTGGGACTCAGGTCATCCCCGACTCGTTGAGAGACGATTCTCGAGCTGGTGTGCCTGCCCTGGCTATTGTGAATACGGGAGCTATGAGATTCGACATCTTCAAGGGTCCTTTCACCCAAGACTCGACATTTATTGTCTCCCCATTTACCAGTGGTTTCCGCTACTTGAAGAACGTCCCATATGACAAAGCCCAGCTTATGCTAGAGGTTTTGAACAAACAGCCCCAAGTCTTGCACGCATCGCAACACGGAGGCGAGTCATCACGTACCACACTCGCACCTCCTGAGCAACTTGCGTACCCAGAAGACGTGGTAGTCGACCAGACATGGCCATTATTCTCTGGTTCAGGGTCAGATCAAATCTCCCTATCCGATGATAAACCCGCCGAACCACTTGTGCCCGGCTACACGACAAAGGACGACGCAGGCACGGACGGTGATGATACCATTCATGCGCCGATTTCCTTTTATCGAGTTCCCAATTGTATTCAGGCGCTTGTATCTGCCAATTCGTCCGAGATTCCGGAGAAGGTGGATCTGGTCTACATTGACTTCATCGAGCGGTACATGGTGCTAGCGGCTAACTTTGCTGGTCTCGATGTTGACTTTGCGAAGGAGAGTGATGTATACATGCCCGGAATGACCATGACGAACCTGATTCTGGACTGGGTGAAGACACATTGGAAATGTGATGAATGAGTAGCATAATGGTAAATGATATTTGGTTTCGGTTTATTTGGTTTATTAATCATACAGTTCATCTCTAAACGGGCATCTGATTAACAACCCTCTCGTGGGGTTTTCGACGCTTTTCAGAAAGAAAACTTGTAGATTCTCAAACTTACAGTTCGCGAGAAGATCTCATGTAATGTAATTGATGTCCGCAGACGGCCCTATGTGGATGAGCCCAAATCATATCATACAACATCTAAAACTTGATCCTAAACTATTCATCGCCACCAGTGAAGGTGAAAACACCCTTTCCACTGCGATAACCACCCAGTGTACCCTGCACGCTCTCGGCAAGCTCAGGACCCTCAGAGTCCCAGTTCCACTTGACATCCTCCACAGGGATATCCTGGAATTTACCAGTGCGCGTCAACTGAAGCACATCCTTAATAGTGTTCTCCTTCAGCTCAGGATTCTTATCACCCCACTTGCTAACCCAGAAGCCATCAAACGAAAGGTTCTTGAAGATCAACAGACCAGACGGCAAAGCAACGGGCTGCTTCGACATAGCACCATAGGTAACCATATGCGAATCAGGCGCCAGCGTCTTAGCCAAAGCAGTAGCATTCTTCCCGCCAACACAATTCAACGCGAGACGAATCGGCTCCCGGCCCTGACGAGTAATCTCATGAACCATATCGCGGAACCCACCATTAAGCATCTCTTCCTCGGTAACAACAGCATTAGCACCCAACTCCTTCAGCTCCTGCTTAAGAGCCTCAGTCTCCTCGGGCGTCTTCCGCTGCCGAACAACATTAAGCGTCTTAATGCCCCACTCCCGTCCAAGCTGGATAGCCGCACGGCCAACACCGCTGTTCGCGCCATTTTGGATAAGCCACTCCTCGCCCATGCGCAGCATGTCCCATGCACAGAAATCGCGGATCATACGGTATGCCGTGACAGGGTTGACGCTGACAGTGCCGACCTGCAGCGGGGTGAGCCCGTCCTTGTTCTCGATTTTGATGAGCTCGGACTCGTCCATCTGCGCGTGTGTGCGCCAGGTCCCCTGGCCTGTGCGCTTCATAATGACCCAGTCGCCCTTAGTGAGGTTCTTGACTCCGGCGCCGGTCGAGAGAACCTCGAAGGCGCCTTCATTGCCGCCTACTGCGGCGGGCTCGGTGTTGCCGAGTGTGGTTACGAAGGGTGGTTTGCTGGGGTAGACGCCTTGGATTTGGTTGACGTCTGCTGGGTTCATTGGTGCTGTCATGAGGCGGAGGTTTACTTGGGTTGCGTGTGGCGCGGAAATAGAGTGCTTGTGTAGGCTGGGTGAGCGATTGGTCAGTGTCGTTGATTCGTGGGCATTCCTGGGAGCTCGAGCTGCGTCTTACCGGAGGACATCTTTGGGCTCGCCGTATTTCGAGTACATCAGTGCCTTGGCTTGGGTGTAGCCGTAGACTGAGATGTATCTCCGACCGTGCCCCATCGGAGCTTTGCCGGAGAGCACCGGGATTGGTGCAACTCGGACTGGGCCAGCAGGTCGTGTACCCTGAGCTGCAGCTCGTAATGCGCTTCGTGAAAACATATTTGTTGTGTGGGTGGTGGAGGCGAACGTGGGAGAAGGAGGAAATTATTGAGCAATGCGGATGACGTCGAGTCGGCGATTTCGCTCGGCCCGAAGGAACTGCCCACCACAGCTTTCCCTTAACCGACATGGAAGCTGTTTGGTTCTTTGTTCTTGTTATTCTGTTTATTAATTCCGTCACGCTATTGATCTAGGTTTATTGGTTCTAACTAGTGAGAGGCTCGGGCAGTGACGAAGTATATAGTGACGAAGTATATCGCCATGAAGTACAGAGTAGCCCGTACATCTCAATGACATGGTCCTTTAGGGGTCTTTGTACTTAATTGGCTCGTAAGAAAAGAGCAATCTGATATGAGAAAGTTTTATCCTCTGGCAATGGCCCTTTACTCCTAGAAAAGCTCAAGAAACCATACAAACTGAGGGCGACACATCGGGTGCAACTACCTGTCTACTTAGGGCAAGTCTCCTCAGACAAATCTCACAGAGAGCTCACATTCCCTGGCTAACTCAATCACTGTTACTCCACGAACACGATAATACGAGATGTCCCCAAGGCAGGGGCTTAGGCAATTCTTGGAAGTCTTGGCCCTTTCCAGGGTTATACGAAGATCATCCATGCAGGTTACTGAACAGGGCCATGGAACAGTACAGCCGCACAAACAGCCCGCCGATCATCGTTTGCAGAGGCTAACCTTAACAGCGGGAATAGGCCCAAGCCATGCTTGGGAGTGGACGGGTTCAAGCTAATAATAGTCCACCTAGCAGCCTTCCAGGTCTATCCGAACGATGTCTATATTGAGAGCAGAGCCGCACTCAGCATTCTACTGTATGATGGCCCTGTCCGACGATGATCTATTTCTACTTCAGGTATGATATCGCAGCTTGATTCCAAAATGAGAATACGAGTCTGTAACCGATGCGCCTTCTTGGCTCTTCTTTCGAGGCCTATGGATGACTATTTTCGACCTTGATCGACAACAGTATCCCAGCTACTACATGTCGACGGCAGCGAGCTGCCAATTGCTGGCAGTATCAACAAAAGAATCACTAATGAAAATCGTATTCACTCTTGGCAACATGGATTATGGCCTCATGGACAATGTTGTTCTCTCGCGGTGAGATCTATTCTGGCTTCATTTGGAAGAATACGAGCATTGGCATCAACGAGGTTACATCTTCATATCGTCAAGAGAATACTCAATGGCATTCAGAGATCTATTTAAACGGCCATCTTCCTCGTTTCTATGATCTTGATCATCCTCTCAGTCAATCCAAGTCTCAATTTCAATCTCAATCAATCTACAACCCTTCGAACACTCAATTCAATCTCCAACTTCCAACCAAAATGAAGTTCACCACTACCACCATCGCCCCCCTCGTCGCCGTCCTCCCCATGGCCAACGCCTGGATCTTCTCCACCTGCAGTGGCCAGTGGGACAGCCACGGCAACCAGGGCTGCACCAAGTCCTCCTGCAAGACCGGCGACACCATTGACTGGGAGAACACCTGGGGCTCCGAATGCACCCTCCGTGTCTACAGTGACAAGTCTTGCGACAACCAGATTGGAATCGCTGATGACGACTGGAATGATCACACTCTGAGCAAGAGCATGGGCAGCTTCCGTGTTTCGGGCTGTTAAATCAAGATCTCGACTTTTGATATGTCTTCACTGAGAAGACTGGTGGAATGGAGGATGGGTGCTTGGACTTGGTCTTTGTCTTTTGGTGCCTTTGATCTCAAAGAGTGCAGTCCAGTGTTGTGGTCCATCATTGTCTCTCGTTTGTATCTATTTGGTAGTCATTAGGTCTTTTGGCTATGGAATAAAAATTTTGTGGTAAACCTTCGAACTAGGTGTTTTGTGTCAGAAGTATATATTTCCAATTAGGCTTTGATTTACAATATAGTCACAGATTCTTAGGTCCTTGATAAATCCAGTCATTTATGAATAACTATAAATAGATGCTTCCCATATATTCTAACTACACATTCCAATATAATTACCTTTTATGACCAAAACGATTGACTCGAACCTGTGTAGTCGAGAGCACGGACCAACCGGGGAGATTCGCATTCCCGCGGATCCTCCACTCAACACCACCACTCTCCTCCAAAGGCCTAAATGTCCCTATTGCGCGAAGCTGAGAGATGCGTCGCTAATCAATATGCACACGGAATCAATGCCTTCATAACCCCGCTATCGCGCGCAGGGTCATGGCTGGACCGCGTGAAGGAGGCAGATGCGCGCAAGGAATCAGGTAGCTCCCACTGAACTCCGTGCTTTGGACAGTGACTGACAGACATATTTAAATAGGAAAGCCCAAATCCGCCGTCGATGGCCGCTTGATATCCATCAAAGACAATATCTGCACACGCGACATGCCAACAACATGTGCATCGGGAATTCTGGATAAATTTACGAGCCCATTCAATGCTACCGTCGTTGACGAATTGGAGACTGCCGGTGCTATTATTGCCGGAAAGACAAATCTAGATGAGTTTGGAATGGGATCCAATTCGATCAACTCGTATTTTGGTGCTGTTAAGAACCCGCGTCGAAGTGGGAGCGGGGAGGACCTCTCTGCTGGTGGAAGCTCTGGAGGAAGTGCTGCCTCGGTTGCTGGCGACCAATGCTATGCGTAAGTAGTCAGCATACCATGAGAAATTGCCTTGACTGACTGGAAATGTATATAGCTCGCTGGGCACAGACACCGGAGGCTCTGTCAGACTTCCGGCTGCATACACTGGAACAGTGGGCTTCAAGCCGTCATACGGCATGATCTCACGATGGGGAGTGGTAGCGTATGCCAATTCCCTAGACACAGTCGGCATTTTGAGCAAGACCACTGCCAGTGTACGGGATATCTTCGGTATGGTTCCGTTCCTACATAGCACCAAGCCACGGCCCCCTAACAAGACTCTTATAGGTCTCCTCAACAAGCATGACCAGCGTGACCCAACCAATCTGTCCATTCAATCCCGTTCCCGCATTAATGCATACCACCAAACCCCGCGCCTCGCCTCCCGGCTAACATCAGCACCCCTCCGGATCGGCGTACCAATCGAATATAATGTCTCCGAGCTAACACCCTCAGTCCGACGTGCGTGGATCCTATCTCTAGCACACCTCCAGAAACAAGGACACACAATCCACCCAGTCTCTCTACCCGCTACAAGACACGCCCTCTCAGCATACTATATCCTAGCACCAGGCGAAGCGTCATCAAACCTGGCCAAATACGACGGAGTCCGATACGGCACTCGCGCCGAAGGCCCAGACGGCGACGGAAAACCAGATGGATACCTGTACGCCAACACCCGCGGCAAGGGATTCGGAGCAGAAGTAAAGAGACGAATTGTCCTAGGCACGTTTTCTCTCAGCGCCGACGAAATCGATAACTACTTCATCAAAGCACAGCGGGTTCGTCGCCTAGTTCAACATGACTTCGATTCCGTCTTTGCAGCTAAACATCCATTGCATGTGACTGCTTCTCAGCATGCGCAGGATGATTCATTGACACACCCTGATGTCGACGTCTTAATCTGTCCTACTGCACCCTCTTCCCCACCGCGACTGTCAGATTTGACAGACCCGAAGAAGAAATCTTCCCTTGATGCCTATGTCACGGATGTATTCACCGTCCCGGCAAGTCTGGCCGGTTTGCCTGCGGTTTCGGTGCCTGTTACTGTAGCCGGGCAAGGAGACGAGGCAGAGTTAGCTGGCATTCAAGTTGTGGGCCAGTATGGGGATGATGAGTTGGTTCTGAATGTGGGAGAGATGTTGGAAGGGAAGAGTTTGGATGAGGCTTCGTGATTACAACTCAAGTGCTGAGGGATCATCGGCCTTTTTGTGTTACTTTGTCTAGACAGTCGTCTAGGACATGTTTGTATGATTACTCCCAGATCTGTATATTATATCCTATCAAAGGCTTGAATCCTTGAACTCTGATTGAAATCTGGTATCAATGCTATCGTGCAATTCCGAAACGCCTGTATATCATCATACATGCCTAAGAAGCAAATCAATGGCTGTCGCCCACGAGTATCCGAGCTAGGTAGCTCAGAGCAAGCCCGCTTCGACGTGAATCATGCCATACAATACTGGTCACTTCTCCTCTTCAAACCATCAAGTCATATCAACATCCCCATCCCCATCCCCGTCCCCATCGCCCGTAATCTCCACCGCCAAAGGCGTCCCAGCCGTCCCAACACTAACCCCATCCTCAGCAACACCTCCAACACCATCCGCAGCAATCGGCGTCTCGCGGTTACTATTAGCCGCGGAGTCCGACGCACCAGCCGTACCAGGGGTATTAGCAGAAACAGAATCAATGGCAGCACCAACACCACCCTTCAAAACCTCCGCACCACCCACAGCCCCAGAAGCCGAGCCTTCCTCAAGCCCCCCATCTCCAGCAGGATTATTATTCCCAATAACATCGCCATCAATCCCACCCCAGGTAAACATAGCCTCGACCTCATCGACGATATCAGCCAGGACGTCTTCGACAATTTGATCATTGAAGCGTTCGCCCATGGGCCGGATGGGGGCTCCGGATTCTGTTGTTGATGGTGGACCTACCCACCACGGCCCCTCGAATCGGCATTCCACTGCGCCGCCGCCGTAGCAGCTCACGGCTGGGTAGTAGCCTATCATTCCATCGTCGGCGTTCTCGCGCTCGCCGATGCCGAGGTTGTTTGTGCCATTTGCGAGGCGGCTAGCTGGTGGGAGGAAGGCGTAGAGTTCTTTGAAGGGGGTTCCCATTTCCTTGCCGTTTTTGAAGATTGTGATGCTGGATCCTGGGAGCGTGCGGAGGGTTGGGTCTTCGGCGTTTGTGGGGGATGGACGGCCGAAGGTGGGTGTTTCTTTTAGGTTGAAGGCATAGTCGCGGAGGTGTTTTGTCGAGAAGACGTTTGATTGTTGCCAACAGAAGTCGGATTTGTAGTGGAAGGGGATTCGGTCGCGGATGATGTTCGTTGCTGTGGGTGGGTGTGAGCCCCGGTTGTCCGTGGCTGGGTCGTATGTCCCTTCGACTATCTTCTTGTGTAGGGATAGAGGTGGTAGCGTGATTAGCATGCCGATTACGTCGCCTTCGTTGATGGCTTCGCCTTTTGGGAAGAAGAATTCGCAGCGCATGCGGTTGACTACTTCGCCGTTTACGTCGCGGATGCCGTAGCCATAGCAGTCGACTCCGACGTTGACGTCTAGGTCAGCTTCGCGGCGTGCGAATCCGATGCGGACGTGGCCGCGCGGTGAGGTTGTTGATCTGCCGTTTTGAGGTGGGTTTTGGGGATTGTTGACTATCCCGCTGATTACCCGGGCTTCGTAGTAGTATGTACCTTCTCGGGCACACACATTCGCGCGAGCTGTATGCCATGCGTCACTGGTGGTTACCGCAGTAGCGGTCTCGGAGAATGAGATGGCGGCTGGTGAATCCTCGAAGCTGAAGCGGGCATGGTATGGGCGGACATCTGTCTGTCGATATTTGATGTGGGGAAAGCCAGGGTCGGCAATGGCGTAGCTGTAGCGGAAACCATTCTTGTTGGTGAGTTTGTCCACGACTTCGTAGAAATCCCAGCTCTGGCCCAGTACTTCGGAGGTCTTCCTGCTCACGTGGTTGAGCTGGCGAGGCTGTGGCGGGTATCTATCTGTGGCGTTTGGCTCGGCGAGAAGCAAAGGCCGGAGAATACGCAGTTTTGAACTGGGGAGGGCAGTGCTTTGTGCAGCCGTGGCGCGTTTCTTGGTAGGAGGAGCATTCTCAGTGTCCAGGCCCTTGGCTTCACGTTTCTTGCGACTGTCCCGTTTGTTGCGCTTTGCTCGGCCGTCACCTTGGACAGATGCAACACTGCCGGGGGCCGGAGATGATCTTGGGTTCAAGTCCGAGAATTGCGCGTTGAGCAATGGTCCGCCATTGGGCGGTAGATTGGGGGAGTTGATGTTTGATGAGGGAGCAGAAGACCCAGGAGCTTGGCCGGACGCCATGGTGAATACAGGTATCTATACCTAGCTTGGAGAAGGATAAAAACTGTGGGGTTCTGCTGATATATTGCTCTGGCAGGCGGTCATTCAAAGTAGGACGTTGGATCTGGGGTCAAAATAGAGTTAGTGAATGGGATAAAGACCAATTCGAGGGGATTCAGAGTCATGAATACGGCTTCAAGCACATTTCGCAGAAGCAGAATCCACATGTGATCTTACCCAATCTGATAAGACGAGATGGTATCAATATGCTGTCGCCAACAAACTGTTCGCGAGGCGCGCACACGCGGAAATATATAGGAGATCTGGGCCCTCGGAGCTTCTCAATTACATCGCAAGCTATCCCAGAACCAAATGAGTCTGCTTGATACGCAGCAAACAGAGACAGCAGTGTATCTTCAGCTGATCTCAATCATGCACGATGATCCGATCTCCTTGAGTGGAAGGGCGGTCAAAGACACAGGGCAGAAAACTGTCGGAGGTTCGGGGCGGTGTGGATACAGGCGGTGAATTGATTGGGGGGCACCGCCTGGCAGAAAAAAAATATGACCACACAATTTCCGATGTGGGCTTTGATGCGAGGTTTCTAGGCGCTGCTCTCACTCTTTCTTTTGGGACATATCAGTCACCAGAAAACACACTCATCATGCCCAAGGCAGGAACTTCCCGGGCCGCCGCTGCAGCTCGCAGACACAACCCTCTCGCCGAAGATATTAGTTCCGCGGGGCACCTTCGGACACAGAGCAGCAAGAAGGGCAAGGGCAAGGCCGGAAACGACGAGGATGGCGAAAATGGACAGGGATACATCGATGCGAAGATGTCGCGGAACATTCTACAGATGGGTCAGGAATTGGCCGACGAAGACGCTGCGGAACAAAAGCTCGCCCAGGGCTCAGCCAAGTCGAACGGCGCATTTGAATTCGACACTCGGTTCGAAGAGGAGGAGCCTTTCTCCGACGACGAGGGCAAGTTTGGAGCCGATGACTGGGTTGATGACGAAGTCGAGGAAGTTGTAAGAGCTTTCAATCTTCCACTCGATATCGTTTATACTAATATCTCCATAGGAGGTCGATCCCAACGATCTAGATATGTTCAACAAGTTCATGCCTGGCCACGAGGAAGACCCTATATTCCACCCCAGGGATCCCAACGCCAGTGGCCAGACCACAAACCTTGCCGATTTGATTCTAGAGAAAATCGCCGAGCACGAGGCCAAGCAAGCTGGTGAGCACACTGGTGGACCGTTCATTCAAGGTGGTGGATTGCCCGAGGATGCAGTCCAGATCCCCGCCAAGGCCATCGAAGTATACGAGAAGTATGTATTCCAGGTCCCATCAAATTATTCAAGCTAATACTGTTTAGGGTCGCCATGATTCTTCGCCGCTACAAGTCTGGCCCTCTCCCCAAGCCCTTCAAGATCCTCCCCTCAGTACCGAACTGGCAAACCCTCCTGGAGATCACCGAACCCGCAGACTGGACCGGCAATGCCGTCTACGCCGGAACCAGAATCTTCATCTCCTCCAAGCCGCACGTAGCCCAAGAGTTCATCAACATGGTCCTCCTGGAGCGCACCCGCTCCGAGATCCACGAAACCCGCAAGCTGAACGTCCACACCTACAACGCTCTGCGCAAGGCGCTGTACAAGCCCGCCTGCTTCTTCAAAGGACTCCTCTTCCCCCTCGTCGCAAGCGGCACCTGCACCCTGCGCGAAGCCCACATCGTCTCATCAGTGATTGCCCGCGTCTCCGTCCCGGTGCTGCACTCCGCCGCGGCTCTGCTGCGCATGTGCGACCTCGCTGCGGAGCAGTCAATGACATCGCTCGAAAGCACCGGCGCCGTCAACATGTTCATCCGAGTCTTCCTGGAGAAGAAGTACGCACTGCCGTACAAGGTCATCGACGCCGTGGTATTCCACTTCATGCGTTTCCGCGCAGTCGATCCCTCCGAAGCCATGAATGACGGACCCAACGGTCTCAACTCCAAGAGCTACAAGCTGCCCGTGCTGTGGCACCAGTCTCTGCTGGTCTTCGCCCAGCGTTACCGTAACGACATCACCGAGGATCAGCGTGAGGCTCTTCTCGATCTGCTGCTCGTCCGTGGACACAAGGACATCGGACCCGAGGTCAGGCGTGAATTGCTTGCTGGCCGAGGACGTGGTGTTGTCGTTCCTGATCCTGAGATGCAGAATGCTCTCGATGCCGGCGACGATACGATGGATGTTACCATGTAGATGTAGATCGATCGACGGATTTTTCACCAAGCCCCGCATGTATTCGCTTACGATTTGGCCATGAGCACTGTTTCTATGGGATGGCGTTTCACCTTTACTGTTTTTTTTTCTCTTTTTGCCACGGATGGTCTGCATATAATTCCCCTGGTGTCAGGTTTCCAAAAAATGGGATGAATATAAGCCGAACTATGAAGGACCCGATTCTCTGGATATACTAGTCACTACGAAATAGGCCACTGCTTCAAGTATAGATGTACCATCAAAAGAAATAACCCACTAGTTCAATGTCCATGCACATGCACACACATGCACATACACATTCAATAGAATAGGAGTGACTCCTATTCCAATCTGAGACGAGCAGAGGGGCGCAATACCACAATAACCTCCAGGCCGTTTCAGCCCCTTCCCCTTCCCCTCCACACCTTCCGCAACGTTCCAGACAATTCGATGTAATCCCCGAGATATAGGGCGCCCACCCCCATTTCCACCAATCCGATCAACCCCTGCATAGTCCGTGTACAGTGCCGTTGCAATTTGCAATAAACAATGGACATTCCAACTCAGGGGCGGAGAATTAGATTGGCGTGCTCAGGCTACTGATTGGTTTTGGCATGGGACATTCTCCGTGATCGCCTCGCTTCAGCCGGATTGGGTCCACTTGGGGGTTGTTCGAGACTGTCAGACTGCGGGCACGGAGGACGGAGTCCGTAGTGTGCTGCACATGTAAGTTAGAGGGGGGGGGCGCTGATGTGATATCGGGGGTATCGTTGCATTTTCTACTGTGGGACGTTGATGTATAAAGTTACTATTGTAGGGGGGGCTTTGATGAGTCGATTGGATGTGTTTATTTGCCGAGTCATTGATTTTACAGTTGTACAGAGTATTGGACCCCAATGTAATTGCATATGGGGGCTACTACATAGGGGCCATAGGACCAACACCTTGGGGATTCTCGTATATTGGGGGCCTGGCCTCTATAGATAGTAACAGGGGCTGAGTATGGCCGTACTGGTACGTATGCCATGTAGTAAGGAGAAGGCGAATGTTTCAGGCGAGACAATCTGGTTGGCTGGAATTCTGCCGGAACCATGGAATGCAGGGGCGCAGGGGGGGAAATGATTCGTAATTTACACCAAATGGGTACTTCCCCTATCATAGTGTATTGTATGCGCCACCTTGTACCTACAGTCCCCTTTGTCCCCCCCCTTCAGACCACGCTGGCCTCTACTTAAGTCTGCCACTCTGCCACTCTTCCACCTTCTGCAAACAGACAGTTGTCCTTTCCATTCTCTCTCTTCTTGCTGACTCACCCTCTGACTCAATTTCCCCGGAGTCTGGATCTCCGGTGCCGTGATGACAGCGTGGCCTTGACTAGGTTATTCTCATCTTACCCCCTCAAGTGTCTTCATCAGAACACAACCTCGCATCCGGCACCGGTATCCAATATCATGGCCGACACTATCAACCCGTTGGACACTTTGCCAACATCTCCTGATCCCGAAATGTACACAATCTCCCCAGCAGATACATCACTGGACTCGCCAGAGCCAGAGGATGACATCAAGGAGGAAGAGGACGAGAAGAAGCCAGCAAAGAAGAGAAAGTCTTGGGGACAAGAACTCCCAACCCCAAAGACAAATCTACCTCCTCGGTATGTGTGCCCCCCATTCGCCCACTTGCGAATCATCACTAACAGAACTAGCAAACGCGCTAAGACAGATGATGAGAAAGAGCAGCGTCGGATAGAACGGGTCCTCCGGAACCGCGCGGCCGCTCAAACATCACGCGAGCGCAAAAGGCTGGAGATGGAGAAGCTCGAGACCGAGAAGATCCGCATGGAACAACAGAACCAGTTCCTCATTCAGCGGCTATCACAGATGGAGACCGAGAACAACCGCCTCAGTCAACAGGTGGCTCAACTCTCCGCTGAGGTCCGCGGATCTCGCAGCGCCACTCCCAAAGCCAGCTCTCCCGCCATCGAATCTCCCACCCTCACGCCTACCCTCTTCAAGCAGGAAGGTGACGAACTCCCCATGGAACGAATCCCATTCCCCACCCCCTCCGTGACCGACTACTCCCCCACCCTCAAACCTTCCACTCTGGCTGAAGCCTCCGACGCGACACAACATCCTGCAGCGGTGTTGTGTGACCTGCAGTGTCCGTCGGAGGTCTCGAAGGAGCTGGAAGCGCCCTCCCTCTCTTCGACCTTTCCGAAGAACCTTCAACTGCAAATGACGTTGCAGCTCCTCTTTCTGACGATGACTTCCGCCGCCTGTTCAACGGTGATTCACCCGCTGAGCCAAATTCTTCTTTCCCTGAAGACGGGTTTGCCTTTGATGTTCTCGACGGCGGAGATCTATCAGCATTTCCCTTTGATTCTATGGTTGATTTCGACCCCGAGTCTGTCGTCCTCGAAGGCGTCCAGTCGTCCGGTGTTTCGGATGAGACTGCTCACCAGACTACTTGCTTGCAGCCCAGCCTTGGCGCGTCCACTTCGCGATGCGACGGGCAGAGCATTGCAGCTAGCGGTTAGTGAGCATTTCTCCGCGACCTGGTCGGCTGGCGCCCCGGAGGCTCGACCGAGTTGGGAGTTGTTGTTGACCATGGCCTGGGCAATCGATAGTCTCAGTCTGTCGCAACAGGGTAGTACTTTGAAATCCGGTCGGCGACGTAATAACGGAAAGCATCGAGTTTCACGGAGTTCCAGGAGTTCTCGCAGATTATCTCTGCTGAGCAAACGCTGAGGGTTTTTGGCTGTATACTAGTTTTTTTAGCAAATTTGACTGGCTCACTTTGCCTACCATTTTACTTAATTTTGTAGACCGATCTGGTGCTGATAAGGTATAGCCGTGATAGCCGAAGCAACCTGCTGCCTAACCTATAAACAACGTATTCTTCACTGAATGGACTCTAGATTCCAATCGAGTAAACCGGCAGTTCGACCGATGTAGACTGGTCTGCGACCAAAATAAACCGACGCTAAAAATGCACTGAATGCGGTCAGTGACGTTTGCCACGCGCCATCTCCAACCCTCTTTCATATCTCCGACTCCATCTTTCTCTCTCTCTCTCTCTCCCTCATACATCCAATCCAACCGCCATCATGGTTCGCAAAGACCCCATCTTCGAAGCCCGCACAAATGTCAAGGTAAGCAACCCCCGTCCCACCTGGGCACTCCCATCCCACTCCAACTCCCCGCACTCCCTCCGCCCAACAACGAACATACACAACCACTCCAAAACACCGCAAACAACCTCAAAACCTCAAACCAAATACTAACACCAAAACAGCTCCACTCAAACCGCTTAAAAAAAGAAGCCATCCGCGCCGAATCAACCTACAAATCCGAAAAAGCAAAAGCAGACAAAGCAATGAAAAACCACGAATTTCAGATCGCCCGAATCCACGCCGCATCAGCAATCCGCGAAAAACGCCGTCAAGTAACACTAAAATCCGAAGCGGCCCGCGCAGACGTAATAATCAACGAACTAAAAGCCGCTCAAAGCACGCGCGACACATCACGCACGTTGGCGCTTGCATCGCGCGGTCTGGACGCTGCGTCGCGCAGTGTTAATCTTGAACAGCTGGTCGGGCATGCGAATAATTTCCTGGCGCGCAGTGAGGATTTCAAGATTGCTAGTTCTGCTATTGAGGATGTTGCGCAGGGTGTTAGTATGCAGGAGTATGGAGCTGAGGGGGAGACGGAGGTTGATCGGCTTATGGAGCAGCTTGCTGATGATGCCGGCGTTGATATGAGGCGGAATCTTGAGGAGAGTCAGGTCCCTAAGGAGGAGGTGAAGGTTCCCGAGAGGCAGGGGGTTGATGCTGAGGCGGAGGATGGGCTTGGGGCGAGATTGAGGGCTTTGAGGGCTGCTAATTAATCGTTGGTTTCATTTCCTTGTCTTTTGTCTTGTGTGGCTGGTACTACGAAGTTACGTCTTGTTTTTGCACTTGGGCTGAGTGGTCTTTTTCTCTCGTCTTGTTCTTGATCTTGTTCTGTCCAGTCCCGCTGTTTCATACTCCTAAGCGTTGAATATATGTATACGTGAACATGTGCCTCCGTATGATATTCCAAAGTTGATACCCAAGTGAATGCGAAGTGTCAAGGATGCTACCTCCCTTGCTTATCACCTATCTAGCAACCATTACCCCCAGATATTGCTCTCAAAGGTGGAACATGGTTGTTTTTTATTGGCAAATTATGCCCTGTATAATCCGCTTCAATGTAAGAAAAAGTACATACGACCACAGGGTGTGGAGAACAGGGCTTCCCGTCCGCTCAGCCGTACTTAAGCCACACGCCGGTAAGTTAGTAGTTAGGTGGGTGACCACTAGCGAATCCTTACTGTTGTATGTTTTTTAGCTTTTTTTTTTTTTACAACTACGTGCCCAATTCTCAGGCCCTTGGAAACAAGTAGCGAGGACTCTGTCTTAGGATCACTCTAGGTGCGTGATATAGGTAGGAATTCTAGAGGTGGAGGATAGAAGTGTGAACGGTGTGAAATAATAATCCAATTTTTCACAAAAAGAACGCACGCAATAAATACCCGTAGTCTTTATAAACCAGAATGGCTGAAATTCGTGTTCATTTAGTACGAGGAACCTAAGTATTACCAGCTACACTATTTAGTGCGACTTAAGTCCTGATCTTCACTTACATATAGTCGCATGCAGGCTGATCTATATCTATGGAGACTTTCAAACCATGACATCCATGATTCAATTCAATTCTGTTTCCGAATCCGAGACCTGTGTAAGCGCTCCGGGTGTCTTCCAATTTTTGCCCACAAGCAGAGCAGGATGCAAGCCCGTCAAGCAAATACACGCAATTGAAACCATGGCGCCTTCGAGAATCATCAACGCTACCTCGTCATTGGCAAGACTACTGTCGAATCCCCTCTGGAGCTCAGCTACCCGAAAAGCAGACCGAATCACTATAGTCAAAATTGCGGTTGCCAAGCCTAATATTAATATCCAGTAAGCGGGCATTCATGATATAGAGTCGGGACGTGATGTACTTACCAAGCAAGAATGATCTCCTCTTCCAGCTTGCTCGTCGCTTCTGAGAATGCATTCGTCGTGCTCGTACAGCCCGGACTCCATATTCAATTGCAAGGACAGAGAATGCCACCAAGGAAACGACTTGGAAGGCTAACCCGGCGATCATGATGTTGACTCCAGTGTCCCGAAGGGCTCTTTCATCGGCGATAGAGGTGACAGCACCACCAGCTGCTTGCAACACAAGAGAGATCAAATCACAGGTCACGAAGATGTAGGTGTAAGTTCTCGGCTTCAAGCGTGAGAATTCCTCCCCGTAAACAGTAATGATACGACCCATGCAAAGATATATGCCAGCTGTGAAAAATGCTGGTGCAATTGTGAGACATATCAAATACCTACATCGTTAACAGTTAGGGCCATTCCAACAGAGTGATGAAAGTAGTAACTTACATCAAGAAGGCATCGAAATTGAATGGATTGTTGTGCAGGAACACTCGGCCCAAATATCCTATCACCTCCAATATAAGGCCAGCAGCCATTGGGACCATAAAACTCCAAGTTCGATACTTAATACCCGCACCGACCTGTCCAACCATCAAGACTGCGAAAAGCGCAAGATAAACCATATTTCCGGGCACATTAGGCCGATATCCGATATAAGCAGCGCTCAGCGGACATGTTTGCAAGGTACACTCATCGGTGTTGGCCATAGTGGAAGTCTGGTATAGAGGTTGTGGAAAGACGTGTAGTTTTTCAAAGAAAAGCAAGATTGTAGAGGTCACGAGTGAGTTAATTTCTTGAGTAGAACCATGATAAACTGCCACTATTTATTTCCAGATCTACAAAGTGCTGCCAAGGTGTTTCCACGTTGCCTATCTACTCATTGAAGCCCATATGAGGCTGTGAGGCTTTTTTTTAGATTCAAGAGTTGCTGTAATCTGACACCCAAATCCTTCCATGTTGAATTAAACCAACCATCAACGCTGCCATCAGATCGAAGGTATGGTTATAGCGCTAAAGTGGATCCGATATAAGTCGTTGCCTGCCAGTTGATGCCAAGACTCGGAGTGTCCTTGTCCGTGTCCTTGTCCGTGTCCGTGTCCGTATCCTTGTCCTTATCCTCTTCGCCTGCCCTCTCCCTTGCCCTTACACCTTATAGGTACAAAACGAGCCTTACTTAAATCGGAAAATGGCGTCTCCTACGGTGGGACATATTAAAACGTGCCAAAACTGTGCTCGCGGTAAAATCCGATGTGTCCGAGCCCCCGATTCTTCGGCATGCGATCGGTAAGTAGTGGCACTATGAATACGGGTCGACGAGCTCTTTTGAGAATGCATAGACAAAAGGCTAATGTAAGATCTAGATGCCAACGCCTGGACAAAGAGTGCTATTTCCGGCCCGCTCGGGCACGCTACAACCCCGTGAAGAAGGGGACGTAAGGCTCCGAATTCCATGATTCCATGACTGGCGGTATTCAAGCTAGTGCTGATGAAAGCTTGAAATATCAGACGAGTCGAGGCTCTTGAAGCAAAGGTCGATCAACTCTTGGCACGGGTAGTTAATCAACACCAAACTATACCCGGTGTTTGTGGCATACCTAATCCTGAGCCAAAAGCTCACCCCAACCAGGACAAGTCCCAGGATGTTATCGACCGTGGAGTTGTGAGTTATGATGACGCGGCCACTATGCTCAACACCTTCCGGCACAAATTGATGCCATACTTTCCATTTGTTTTAATCGCACCCGAAACGACGCTCGATCGGCTACGAGCAGAGAAGCCATTTTTGTTGCTGGCTATTCTCAAGGTCTCATTAAGCCAAAACGCCGCCACTCAGCAGGTATTTGAAGGAGCTTTTCAGTCGGCTGTGGCTGACCGGATGATATTCTCCCATAATCCATCCATGGACGTGCTACAGGGACTCCTCATCGCTTTGGCATGGTCATTGATCCCTGTATCACTTTAACGCAGAAGAGAACACTGACTCAAATACTTTTTATCACAGGTCACAACACCAGTCCGAAAACATGAGATTCTCTAGCTATCTTCATCTTGCTTGGAGTGTCGTTGGGGATTTACGACTCGACCGAGTGTCAGAAACCCAGTCATCCTACTCACGGATGGCCGTGAACATGGTAGCATCAGATTTATACAGTACCAAGCAATCTGTGAACGACAAAAGAAGAGCTTTGATTGGATGCTATATCCTATCTTCATGGTCAGTAATAAGACCCACATTATCTTTATCTCGCTGACAGGGTTGAATCGTGTAGTCGGTCGACAGTGTTGCAAAAGGATCGCATGATGACTCGATTGTCATATATCGAAAAGCAAGCTTTTGAACTGCTATCAAATGCCGAAACTGCCAGCGATCGATACTTGATACAACTAGTCAGATTGCAACGAATCTTCGAGCGGATCGATGACGCTGTGGTCAATACTGCAAGTTCAGTGCGAGAGGCCGATATGCATGGATTTCAAACCGAGATCGATCAATATAAGATGACACTGTCAACAGAGTTTTCTGACAACTGTGAGTGGCACTCTTCTCTCAAGAAGAATACGCATGTGATGCTAATTTCTTATCGACAAAATGCTAGCTCTCTTACAATTTAGCTTACACACTTTACAGCTGTTCCTTTGTCAGGCTTGTTTATTTGATAAGCACGAAACGCCTAATCAGCCTGCTTCATCAATACCTCGCTCTCATTCCGATGCTGGACTTTTACCGCATCTTCAAAGTAGTCATCAACGCTTGGACCTATCCCCCTTTCAGGTAGAGTTTCTCAGTCGTGGTCTCACCGGAGCGAAGGAGTTTTTCGACTTTCTCTTCACATTCGCCCCGGAAAGCTATGGAGCAATCAATCATGCGCAATGGCTACACACAGGCTTCAACTTGGTTTTGGGCTGCAAACTTGCTGTGCTGGGTGCAGAATATGCCCCACGCAGTCAGCATGTGGGGGATCTGTGCTCAGCTCTCAATATGCGACAAGTGCTGCGGGGAGCGCTTCACCACCTTGCGAGATTCAGTAAGGATAGAGTGGATACAGAAGTGAAGCAGCACTCCAAACACTTCTACGAGGTCTGGATGGGACATATTATTGAATGGTTCGAGCAAAAGTATCACTTACTGCAACCCGAGGACAGTCCTGCATCACTTTCCGAAGTACCTCATGGCGGCCCTGGGCCATCCACCTTTCCTAGCGCCTCATCTTTTCAGGACTCTTCCCTCATGGGTGAAGAGTATGACGTCACACAAGGGGCACCGGTATATGGAACTGGTTTATGGCCGGACTTCCTATGGGATATAAGCACGGAAGATATATTGAGTGGATACATGGGCTTTATGGATATGTCTTATCCCACTCTACAGCCTGGAAATGACATGCGTCTGTCATGACAACAGGAAGAGAGGAAGAGCGAAATCAGCCTCGAGTACACCCTTGTACAGTAGCTAAAACAGGAACACACTTCCTTTCAAGTCAGGGTGAATTTTGATCAGAGATACCTTAGTTCTCACACAAACAGTCCAAGATCGACAGGGGCCGATTTCATTTGGTCCTCTTGAATCTCGCAAATTAATGCGCTGTTTGGAAACTCTTTCCAATCCAGATTCATGTACCCGTGCGGAGCGCATTTCAGGAAGGAAATGAAGAACGAATGCCCATTAATGGTGTCATCACCAACGATCTTCAGCAATCATTGAGCTGCGTCTCCTGTCTGTGCAAACTCTACCCCAGCTCTCAAAACATAAATGGTATTGTGTTATCCTTGCAGGAGAACAACCACAGGCAGTCTGATCGTCGATATCCCGGCCCAGAGTGGCAACCCAGGAAAAAACTGTCGCACAAAGTGATCAGCTTCAGGCGGGCATTTTCAGAAGCAAAATCATTAGAAAAATGCCACCAGGGGTAAATCTGTGGTCGCGAAGATAGATCGAGTTGCAGAGCCCAGGTTTACCTTTCCAGTGGGTGGTACGGAGCACGCAGAGAGGGAAATTGACGGTGTGACAATCTCGAAAACCGTCAATTTCGCATCAAGTAAGACGGGGCATTGAGCAATGGGTACAGGCATCACCAAGTTTCCATGGAGAAAGACTTTACCACACAAGGTCGATACAATCCAAGGAAACGAACCGAACGTCGGCATATTTGCCTATACCCGAACAAATGAACATGGCTTCCTGGGTCAAGCCAAGAGGCTCTGTGTGGCCTGTAGCCGTGCAAAGCCCGCCTTGTACATCCGGAATAAAGCTATGTTCAGTGATGAGGAAAAGAATATTTGCGACGGGAAATTCAAAGCCAGAACTGAGGGTGCTCTGTCCTTAGCCAAATCACTACCAGCTATCTTCACAAATTTATATCCGCAGCATTGGATTCTCTTATTGCGTTCCCCTATCTGATTCTCTTAGTGTCCTTGGAAGACCTTGGAACACTGAGGTCGCTGCAAGCCGATTGCGGAGAGAGCCAAGACTGCAGAAAAATGAAATGCATTGTATCGCGACACAACCTGGCCGCGGCTGGGAATCGAGAAAGACTACATTGAACGCACAGTGTGATGAATCTATGGATGAAGTTACAGCTGAAAACGGTCAACTGATTTTTGACCGACCGATTCATGGACTAAGCATGATGTATCTCGGTCGTATTCCAACCATCAGATAATCCCACCCCGCCGAACATCACATTTAGTATATAGATATTGACTGTAAGGGGCTGTATATTAAATACAGGCCCCTCTAATAAGGAGTAGGGTTTGTGAATTAATCCAAGAGAACAATGGCATCTGATCAGATATGTCACTTTGATGACTTTGAACCTGCCGCGGGAGTGGTACAGGAGCTGTGACCTCCTTGTGCCTCTAGATCCGTTAGCCCTTTGGTCTTAGTTGTGCTAGTCTTTATACTGTCTAACATGCGCCTCACACTCTCCGTTAGCCAGCTCCATGCCACCTCCAGGTAGTCAACTCTAAAAGCAACCCAGATGAGGGCCGCTGATATTAGGGTGGAGATGGGGACTGCAAGTAGCCTTGGGGTTAGCCCTAAGCGCAAGTTTAGAGATACTAGTCACATGAAGGAGCACTTACATATGATATACGAGACGTAGCCCAAGTCAAGCTTTCCCTTCGCGTTGGTTTGGAACTGACTTATATCTAGGGTAAAGAATGTAGCCATGAACGATAGAGGTAGCTGCAGCAGGTCAGTTTACTGTCAAAAAGGTTGCGCTGCTTCCAGGAAATACTGACAAAGACAATAGTGGTCAAGGTAAAGATCAAAACGGTACGTCCTTGCTTCAGCGACTCTTTCGTATCCATTACGCTGTTTTGCTTCAACTTTAGGTCTACAAGGAAGTTGAGCTGCGAACACATAGTTAGCATGGCCACTGGTAAATACCAGACAAAAGGAAAAAATTATCAGATACAGATTCGCTGGTCCTCTCTGCCCGCTTAATCATAGTGTTGATTTCGTCGATGCTGGCGTTGACCAGCGCCAGCGGCAGGCTGAAGTTATCGGGTTCGTTGCGAGTTCCCCAGATCCCATTTGCGCGTTGGCTTGCGTAGGCAATCACGTCGGTATCGGTCCTCGCGTCGCTGAAACTGCTTAGACGCTTTTTTGCGTACATTTTGCTTTGCTCCTCTCTTGAACTGCATGCAGAATTTTGCGTTTCCGGGCTTCTATTTCCATTGTCGTATGTTGAAATAGACTTAACGATATTGTCCATGATCTTTACCATCTTCCGTTGATCATCAAATAGCACAGACATGATGTTCAAATCGTCGAGAATTGCCTTTATCCTAGAGATCAAGCCGACTTCACTGCGTATATTTGCCAAGTCCTCCTTCTCAAGGTTCGTGAACTTCCCAAATAGGACGCTCTCCTCTTGGATCTTACACATAGTAAGTTAAGCAAAGGAGACTGGTGCAGTAAAGCTATCAGAGATGGACTTACTATATCACTAATTTCTGTTTCATAGAGCTCCGAAAACTGCAGAGTCGATTTCGTATTCCCAAAACTCAGAGTGCTTGCACGGTCGAAGTAGACCCTAGAGCATGTCGCCGCAATCAGACCTGCCAGATCATATGCCGTCTGAACGGAAGACGGCTCATCCAGAAGGCGTAGCTTGATGCACCGTAGTATATTCATCAGTCCGTGAGGGTCTGGCTGTGCTGAGGCTTCTTGTTGATCGACAACTGGGAAGCAGCTAACGACTATGTCAGGCTTGCCCTGGTCCCCATTTAGCACCCACAGCCAAAGTTGGTCAACCATGGTAAGTATCCTTGGTTGCATCTCATTTTTGTTCTGATAGCTCGTGAGGAGCTGATCTTTGTCTCTCCTTGTAGTGTCTGTAAGAGTGTGATAATAGTATTGATCTAAGGTGCGGCGAATATGTAAGGGGTGATCATCGGTTAGGTACGCTTTCACCAGCTTTTGATCGCGAACCAGCGTATGACTTGGGATCTGTTTGTGTGTTGGGGAGCTGACAATTGCTTCGCGTTTGGCCTGCAGCTCTTCAAAGTCCCAGTGCAGGAAAGGCATCTGTTTTTACCTTAGCATATGCACAAGTTTGGCATCCGAAGTAAAGCTTACAAATAGCACCAGGTCGGAGCGGTAGTCTGCCTCTTCTGGTTCCAGGGCCCCTGTAAAGATCAAAATTAAGCGAATGAAAAACCTGCAGTGTTCATGCACTGGAGTCATGAAGTCAGGTCTTATCATAGGACAACATACAGAGTGAGGCACTTGGAAACGCCTGGCATTGTGGACGCATGAATCGAGCATGATGAACACCAGTGGCGCCATGGTGTTGTCGACTTACCCATCGCTCAGATTTGAGCACTCTATAAGCCGAGGCTGGGTTGTCGTAAAGTCTCGTCATCAAAAGCTGTACGGTAGACACTAGTTAGATTGATACGCGACGGCCAAATGCAGTGGTCTTGCCTCAACCCATCGCATCTACGATGTGTCAGCCCATGATACCAAGAAGCTAGATGCCAGACTCACGTTATTAGCAGGAAGATGTAGCCATCGGAACGATGTAGAAGCAGCATCTGGGGTAGTAGAGACCAAAGGGTTCTTCAGCAGGTCATCAACGTCAATCTCAGCAGCGCATGGGGTCTGAACCCCAGACACAGAGACGAAATCAATGACTGTCGCTTTGAATTCATGGTCAACGCTGGAATGAAGGTGAGGATCCTCCGCTTCGGCGAGCCTGCCATCTTTGTCTACAGCGGCCACCATGTGGAAGATTGTTGGGTGATGCTTTGCCAAATCCATAGGTGCCTCGCCCTTGGCGTTTTCCAGCTTGATATTAGCCCCGGCGCTAAGAAGAACCTTGACCGCACCCTCATGTCCAAATCGAATTGCCAGACCGAGTGGAGTTTCTAGAGCCTTGGCAGTTTGGTAATTGCATGCTGCACCAGCCTTCAATAGAATCCTAACCACTTCCGACTGGCCTTTCTCTGCAGCGACACAGAGAGGCGTGCGGTCATCGTAGTCTGGATCTCGTGGGTCGACCAGGGCCTTCTTTTCAATCAAGAGCTTCGCCAAGATAACCCATCCTTGTTCCGCAGCTTTGTGTAGATAAAAGTGCGCCCATGGTAGCCTCTTGTGTTGCTCCGGCTTTTCTGGTAGTCGTAGCCCTTCCTCCACCAGAATGCGTAAAGTATTTTCCTGTCCTTTCCTGGCAGCCCAGGATACTGAGCTATTGTCAGGATCGCTTTCATCGTGAATCGATAGGATGTGTTGTCCATCAGCTCCCTTCGCACTTAGTAAATTGCGTATAGCATCGACATGACCGTTTCCAGCTGCCCACGCCAGTGGACTCCGGCCATCATAGTCGGTGCTGCTTGCATTGACTCCCTCTTGAGTTAACAACAGGTCGATTGTTTTGACATAGCCGCCCCCAGCAGCCCAAGAGAGAGGTGTCCTTCCATGGACGTCTTCTTCGTCCGCTTGTATCTCCGGCTCGCTGAGCAACAACCCTGTAGCATTTTCTTGCCCGCTGCCAGCGGCCCAGGAGAGTGCCGATCTCCCAATATTATCTAGTTGCTGTAAGGTGCCCTCTTCTCGGAGTAGCAGATTCAAGCCGTCCTCCCACCCGTTTGCCGCGGCCCACGACAGAGGTGTCCAGGAGGTCTTCTTCTTCTCGTCAATCTGAACAGTTTCTTCTATTCTGTCATGACTCACGTAGCCTCCGTAGTCCACATTGGCTACGTCAAAGCCCAAAGAAAATGAGACCGCCTCTTCACTGCGCCGACGTCGTACCAAAACAACCACGCCATGGCCTTCTGGATCTACGCCATAGCCTTCTGGATCTTCTAGATCAAAAGTGGCCGATTTGACTACGCTCTTATCATATTGGCGCGGCCTCTGGCTCTTCTCGAACACGACTCCCGATGAATAACGATGAAAAATTCCGACCTTCCAACTTTCCACATCTGCCGAGCTGTCGTCAGCAACGGGGCCCAGATTGCATGAAACAGTAACGTTGGCTTCCGGAATTTTGTGATCGAACTGAAGTTCGAAGAGGGCAATATGCAGTGAATGTGTTCTATCCGCCATCGCTCCCTCAAGAAAGTTGAAGACTCCTTCCGACGTAACCGTGGCGGGCCGATTACTGGAAATCTTATGAGGTGGGGGCTTTTGTGCTTTTTCTGTTGCTGCTTCTTCTTCTTCTTCTTCTTCTTCTGCTGCTGCTGCTGCGGCGCTAGTAGCTGGAGCAGCTTCGGGTTCCGGCTCTGGCCCTTGAGTCGGCCACATTTGCATCGTGACCGACCAATCTGGCTCAACGACATGTTCCCAGACCGACGGGAGAATTATGTTGCCGTCAGGCCCAACAAGGTCGTAGTAACCTTTGTGAACATGCGGCTCAATTCCTTCTATGTGCACGAATGCCTCCTGAATTAAACGCGCCATACCCTGTGGCAGTCAGGAACCACAGACCAAACATGGGGGAATTTGTCTTACGGCCCAGGTGTTGGCTAAGTGAAACGGAAAGATAAATTTCCTCCCGACGGCATCTTGAAGCCGAACGGGTGCCTGTTTTATTTCATCTGGCTTGCGATGCCCAAGCCGCGGGCCATTCTGCATGTCGGTTTCGCCGAGACTGTCGCTATTAGGGGCTGCCATTTGGTAAGGAATCGTCTGGTTCTAGCTGAAAATAAGAAGTTAGAAATGCGTCGAGATTTGGTGTCAGAGACCCAGCAGTCAGGGCGAGGGACCAGAAGTGAACGGAGCGTCTATGAAACAATCAAAGAAGCAGTCGAACAGCAAGTGAACAGAACAACAGATATTGAACGTACCACTTGGGTCTAGCTTTTTGCAGGTGTATCTGGTGAATTGGGGCTTGGGTGGAATTTAATAAGACCAGGCATATTTCACAGTAGTTGTGCGCAACCGAGATCAGCTGGGGGGCTGAAACCCCCAGAGGGATCAAATCAGGCTTACAAGCCCAGATTGGGCTGACGTGGTGATTGCCTGCAGATGCCAAGTGGAGTGGTCAGGGGCGTACTATCCAATGAGGCTATACTGTAAATATAACATTGTATCTTTCATACGGTGTTGGTATGGGTAATATACAATATCTGGACTCGTTCGGTAAACACATAAGTATTTTACGCAGTAACTATATCGGGATTAGCCTGTGTGATTAGGGCTTGAAAGTGCATCTGTCTCCGAATGGAAGATGATGGTAGACTATGAGCAAGACAGAAGTATAAGGCAAATCTATTAGTTGTAAGTGGACATTAAGAAGGATATCTGTCGAATTGTAGTCATACCTTCCGCCTACTGTCTGACGTGAAATACTTGTCAACACGACGTATCTCCTTTATCCTACTATTACTCAAGTTATTGAAGTTAGGTACAGCAATACACAGATTTCGGTACTAAGATGCTGAGTGTTTTAGGGGGAACGGTACGATCTAATAACTTTCTATTATTGTTTAGCTAAGGAATCAGTGCACTGGTCGCACGAATAGGTGAATCTCAACCTAATTCTTATCCTTATTAGCCTCAGTCATGCCTAAATCTTGGAACAAATTAGCCCTATATAAGCCCTTCTTATACTAGAAGAAGTACATACGATATATACGACCATAGGGTGTGGAGAACAGGGCTTCCCGTCCGCTCAGCCGTACTTGAGCCACATAATCTACGCGGCCAATTCTCGACGCGCCTTATACACTAAAGTGGCCAGGAAATCTGTCTCAGGATGATAAATATCTAGCAGAGGCCTTGAGTCCAGCTTGTCGTAGTTTCTTTCTTAGCGTTAAAGATGTTCCCTAAAGATCTCTAGAGGTCTTAATACGCTCAGCGTATTGCACATGCCGTATCACGTAGCTTCACTCACGAGTATTAGTGTTAGGATGCTGCGAGGTCCTAGGTAGCAGGGTGAGTTCGGGAAGTAGAGCCTATCGGCAAATGTACGAGCGGGTGTATCAAGAGACTAATTGCTGGTCCTTCCTGCGAAGGCCAGCGAGAGCACTAAATACAGGGTGCGCTTAGCTAATGTTCTTAAGCGATAAGTTATGCACGATCGCCATAGCCCTGCGTGCACTCGGTTATCTTCGCACTGCGAGGGCCAAGGCTCGCTGTATACCCTCAGCCAGCCTCAGGCACCTGGCAGGCGGGGGCCTTGACAATTAGACAGAGCGGGAATATAAGGAAAATATTATATGCTATAAAGAGCTAGGTTGGCACCACCTTAGCGGTGGATGGCTCGATTTCGGTGTAGTTCGGTCTACCACTTAGCATATATGATAGACTACCGTAGTTGGTACCAGCCACGTCAATGAGGGCGCGACGTTGTTTGTTCCACTGCCCGCAGTGGAGCCGGAAGTGCTGCGAGGTTTCGCGTTCGACGCTACACTCATACGGTAGAATTTTTGTCTCACTCTGGCCAATTCGATAAAGATACCTGTTAAGCCTGACATGTCCTGTGTGAAGGTGGGCTGAAATGGATGCTTTCTCCCGGTTAAATGAATCCTAGATTATCTTCGTATGAGAACCCGGAACTGCCGAGTCTATCTGAAGGATATACTGACCAGCTGTTGAATGTCAGGAAACGCTCTTCCGGTGTTCTACAGCACTCAAACGGTATACTTATCAAGTGGCGATCTGTAGCCTCTCCGCCCCACTCCTCTCTACTTCGAAAAGTGGAAAACGACGGATACAGTTGTAGTCTCACCGATCTGCATAGGTACTTTGTAATGCCATAAGCCTTCCAGTAACGCCCTAAACTTAAATCGCCGCCTCAATTCGTAGTGGAATTGTCTTTACCAAAATAAGGTATTGCGGGGAGTGGGGCATAATGTCTGCATTGGATAACCAATAGGAGTAGAGATCTTCGTACCCATCATGTGCTCTGAATGGGAGATATTGATTGCGGAGGATCGACAATATGAAGTGAGTGGAGTAAAGTTTACTACAATATAGGTGGCTGGTGGGTTTGTTCATCACTGGGAAAGCAATGAAAGCATTTTGGGCATGGACAGTAAGTATGGTCCTGATTAACTTCACTAAAGCGGTGCTCATGGGAAGCAAGACATCTCTGTAAAGGGAAATCCGGTACATCGAAGCGACTCTATAGGCAATTCAGCTCGTTATTTTGGATAGTAAGTTCTACACGGTCTGTTACAAGCCGCCATTAACAGAGGGGAGAAAAGTATAGAAAACTCATATAAAATGAGCTTCTTTGCGGTTAATCAATTCCATGGGCGGAGCAGCATCAGACGACACGGTGCAGAACGTTACCTCACGTATGGTACGAGTAATGAGGTTGAATCCGCATATTTCGGAACCCGCTTGCCCACACAATGCCTGCCCCCGGTGTACAGACTCCACTCCCGCAAACTTCTGTTTACAGATTAGACAGACTCATTGGAATGTCGGGTAACCAAAACTTCTCATTTTCCGATTGGTCAAGGAGCTTTTTGTAACCTTGGAATTACGTGATAACCACCCTTGGCTAAGCAGTTCCATAAAACACTTCAACTTCCCAAAATGTTGACGGCCTTTGGATCATATAAATACAAAGGAAGTTAGCTCCTCAAACTATCAGGTCAAATTATCGAGTCGAAAGTCTCACAGATTCTTATCCCATAACCAGCATAATGGCATCCAACCGAGCTACTACAGCATCTGGCAACTTTGTTTTAACAGCAGAGACTTTGAACAAAGCCCTTCCGAAAATGCATTTCACCACTCAGGCCGTACACGCGGATGACTTTGTCAGCCCTCACCGTGCCATTGCACCAGCCATGCACCCGGCTGTGAACTACCGATATGCCAGAGACCCTGATGAGTTAGTAGAGATGGAAAACGACGATGTATGGAGCTTGTCACTCAATTGAGGGCCCTGCCTTTTGCTAATTCCACCTCACAGCCCAACGCCCCCTTTGACTCGCACGTCTACTCGCGCTACACAGCACCTAACTCGAATCGGTTTGAGATTGTCCTCAAGACCCTCTTCCACTCAGACGTTGTCTCGTATTCTTCTGGTCTTTCAGCTTTCCATTGCATGTTGGTCCACCTGAACCCGAAAAGGATCTTTATTACTGAGGGTTACCATGGTGTACACGGAGTTATCGATGTTGTATCTAGATTGAGCGGCGTCACTAAGCTGACCCTAGACGACATCGACCAGATGGGTCCAGGCGATATGCTCCATGTTGAGACGCCCCTCAACCCTACTGGCGAGGCTCGCAACCTTGCTTATTACAAGGAGCGAGCTCGTGCAGTGGGAGCCTTTCTAACCGTCGACTCTACCTTTGGACCTCCACCGCTGCAGGATCCTATCGAGCTTGGAGCGGACCTTGTCATGCATAGCGGTACTAAGTACATCGGAGGCCACTCGGATATGCTCTGTGGTATTGTTGTTGTTCATCCCGATCGTGTCAAGGAGGGATGGGGCGAGAAACTACGCGAGGATCGCCTCGTCCTGGGGAGCGTCATGGGCAGCTTTGAAGGTTGGCTGGGCATCAGGTCCCTGCGAACCCTCCATCTCCGCGTGACGCGCCAAGCGCAGACAACCGAGGCGCTTGTTTCCTGGCTGCAGAAGGGAGTGGAGGATCGAAACTCGATTATTGGAAAAGTGGTCTCTAAGGTGTCGCACGCTTCTCTGCAAAAAGACGCCCTGAAAGAAGGGTGGTTGCAAAAGCAGATGCCAGGAGGTTACGGACCTGTCTTCAGCATGTGGCTGAGAAAACCCGAACATGCTCGACGATTTGCGAGTAAGTTATATGTATTCCAGCATGCGGCCAGCTTGGGGGGCGTCGAGAGTTTGGTCGAGTGGCGTGCTATGAGCAGCAAGGAAGAAGACCCGCTTGTTATTCGGGTCAGTGTTGGGGTTGAGGATCTTGAAGATATGAAGGCGGATTTCACACAAGGGTTCCAGGCATTATTGGATGAGCGATCTTAAATCACAGCCAAGATATGTATATAGGCTTATGAGCGTTCCGCCTTCGGCTAAAAACAAAATATATTGATTGGCGCCATTCGGATCATCTATAGACCCGGTTTCATGCGGTATTCGTAAGGAATTGCGACAGAAGGCTACTACAAGAAGTTCAATTTGTGAAGTTTAGTAAAGTCTCGGGCGGAGTTTCGTGTGATTTTCGAAAATATGATCCAACTCACAGCCTTGACCGGGACTAGAGAGGCCAGGCTGGCCACATGATGCTCTGTGAGACTCTACTGTCAAAATAACGCCTTCCACCCGACTACTGGCCGCATATAAGCCACACACCATACATAGTAGTGAGGTCTGATCTAAGGCCTTTGTAAGTCTTCTTACTATATAACCCCCTTCTATGTTCGATTCAGTACATACGACCACAGGGTGTGGAGAACAGGGCTTCCCGTCCGCTCAGCCGTACTTAAGCCACACGCCGGTAAGTTAGTAGTTAGGTGGGTGACCACTAGCGAATCCTTACTGTTGTATGTTTTTGCTTTTTTGCCGTCTTTTTTGCTCTTCTTGTTTTATAGGTGAGCTATATGTATAAATATAGGGAATTCCTATAAGGACCCCATTTCTTGACGAATGGACCCCCCCTGCACCTGTCTAACCCTAATTAGCAAGGCGCCGTTATTGTATTTCATGAAGCATTATTCGGTAAAAATGCATGCATTCCTTGGCAATGCTAATGCACCGAGGACCGGAGGTCTCATGAGTGTCAATATACCTGCTAAGTACCTACTTTAACTATATAAACCCCTAGTAAAAATAAGTTGCTTTCTCGTACATCTCGCACTACCGACCATGCTTCCAGCATCGCACTAGCCCTAACTAGGAGAGCTACCCATTAATTATGCAGTAATTAGGGTATCGCCAGGCGTCAAGTCTTCGGCTTCATGCATCTTACCAATTAATCCGGCCACAACACCACCACTATGGCAGCCACGAATTTCTCTAATTATTTTATCGCTTAGAAATGGCTAATCAGCCCATACTGAAATTGGCATAGTCGACGGTAGAGTACGAAGGTGATTTAATTTTACTAGGGGCTGCATAGTAAATAGAAGTACCTCGGATCCATGACCGCCAATTCTCGGTGCATTAGCATTGCCAAGAAATGCATGCATTTTTACCGAATAATGCTTCATGAAATACAATAACGGCGCCTTGCTAATTAGGGTTAGACAGGTGCAGGGGAGGTCCATCCGTCAAGAAATAGGGTCCTTATAGGAATGCCCTAAATATATCGGGGGATGATGAGGTGATGGAACAGGGTAAATCCCATTTATTTCAAGGGCTTTTACTTCTTTCTGCCTTATAAGCACCAGGCCTAAATAGTAGCTCTATGTACTGATATTTCCCGGTTTCTAATGCTCACAGAAGAAGAATCCAGTTTAGTATCCAGTCATACCCTGTTTTGGTCATGACTTACGTCCATAGGAAGGGCTGGGGAAATCGCATACCCGACCTAGCTCGTCGTAGAAGTCTTCCAGGGAAGCCGTGCCTTTCCTTAATCCAGTTCTGTGTTGCCTCAAGGGCGTCTTCCCAGCCAAAATGGGAAGCCAACATGATGTAAATCATATCGAATATCTCTTGTGGAAGTGAGTTCAATCAGGGAGTTTGGCTACTTCTTCGGCGCACCAATCCTTCCTTTGAGATGGGATATTGGCCATGGACAAGATCTGAATCCTAGGGTCGATCAGAAACATGGCTAGAATCTTTCTATGACCGGGTTTTGGCGGGTCTTCTCGTTTGAATGGCTGCAACTGGTGCTCAAGCGCATTTGGCAAGCATGCGTCCTGGTCGGGTTAAAACACTACCCAGAATCTTGTTCGCCCCCAGGGATTTTTATACATTCCCAGGATTTCAACATTGCTGCCAAAAAGGCTCGAATGTCGAGTCCCATTTCAAGTATTGACGGACGAAAGTCAGCCTCCACTTTCTTTCCCCCCGAACATATTCGAACTAAGCTGATACAGGTGTGGTGTTTGAACTCCTCCTGCTTCCGACTTGTTTGCGCAGAGTAAATGGCGATTAACCCCACCCCTATTTCTGCTTGTGGAAGAGACTTAAGCTGTCTGTTTCCGTTCATCTCCACATGGAACGTACGCAGACACATGCGGCGACACCATATCGATACGTTCCCTGAGAAACATGACGATGTGGACGCCGACACGTCGCTAAAACAGTTAAGCCCCACTCCCTCCCTTTCTCTTTTTTACCACAGAAACACAGCCTAACACATTTCTATATCCAAAATTCCTCCTACCCAGGATGAAGCACAGTGTGCCTTAGAGCTCGTGTTGAACCACTTCAAGCTACAACCCGGCGGCCTCGGATCTCAGGAGTATCTGGCCATCGGCAAACTGTTTGAGCGTCAAGAATGACGAACAGACGGCAGCATGTAATCCTAGTCCCCCTTTTGACTATTGTCGACATGTATCTACAGTAGTTCTATGGACAGCATATCGATCAAGACATCCGCTCCTGAATTCTTGTTGGGGAGGGGGGCTGCTCGGAGTCATCCATCACTACAACATTGCAATTTAGTCAGTACCTTGGGGATACACAGGCTGCCCGTGGACTACATTATTACTCTATAAATCAGTTTCTACTCCCATTTTCTACAAGTTCCAAAGTAACCCGCCCACCACTCTCCCGCAACACACAACGGTCCCCCAATGATCCCGCCACCTTCTTCCGCTTCGCCCACTTACTCACAGCTCCATCATCCATCCGATCCGCCTGCTTCAGAATCGGCCGAGTCTCCTTCGAGACCACTTGCGCCACCGTCTGCCAGTAACTCCCAATAAACGAGATCTCGGTCGACCTCACAAACAGGACGATCACGACCACCATAATGACCGAATGGACCCCAATGAGTACCAACCCCAGCATAAAGCCCGTCCACCGCACCGGAATGGTTGCGGTGAGCGAGAACGCCGTCTCGGCTGCGACAGGACTACTCAACCTGACCAATTGCTCGTAGTATGTCATCTGATAGATGCGGGTGAGAGTGGCCTGGAGGGCCAACGCCGGACTAGCCGTCGTCATCAGGGTATCCTGGAACAGATCTGTATGGGTTGAATGGGCGTTGTTGTAGGTGGCGGACTGGGAAATGCGGGAGAGGGTCACGCCACGGTCCACGGTGTAACTGAGGTCGGACGGGAAGAAGGCGGGGAAGTTGGAGAGAACGTCCATGAAGAAGCTGTTTGGGGCATCTCCGAGTGCTAAGGTACTGAGTCCTGGTGTATCCGGGGGATCGAAGATTTCCCATTGGGATCGGGGGTCTAGCGTGAGGATACCCCGGTGGTTAGTGGAGTTCGTGTTACTTGGGGACGATACGCCTAGTTGGAGGCGGGGAAGTTCGGTGTTATAGCTTCCGGTGTGGTGGTCCCAGGTTAACTTAGGCTCAAGGCTGTCAGATTTGCTGTTCATTCCGACGTTGAGGGTTTGCATGGCGAGATTGGTGAGGCAGGCGGAGACGCGGAGCGTTTCGATGTGAACGGATCCGTTAGAGACTATCGCCCAGGGCCCGTCGGTTCGGATCGTCTGCACGGCTGGTGCGTGGCCGAGTGTGCTAAGTATTGCGGGGTGGAAAACGACGTCGAGGACCATGAATAAGGACGAGGCCCAGGAAGAGCCGTTGGGCTGGATTAAAGGGTCTTCGTTGAGGACCGTCCAGTTGAAGCGGCTGCTGGGGAAGCACAAGCTGGTCTCGCCTACCGTACTTTTGGTGTTGTTGTCCTTGGTTGTTGGCATAGGTAAATGGCATGTGAAGTTGATGTACGGTCGAGGGTCCGAGTCGATTAAAAGTGGATAGGCCAAGTCCTTCGTGGGAATCTGTCCGGACAGGTGCACAAGATCCCCCAAGGTCGCATTTAGGTTCAGGTTGATCAAGGGAGGACTGGCGCAGACAACCCGATGATCCATGACAGTCGTCGGACCACGAAGCCGACGTAGTTTGGTTCGTTGCGCCTCTCCTTCAAAAGGAAGGAATGCTCGAAAGGTGTGCCCGGTATCATGGAACCCCGATCGGTTGTCAAAGGATTCCGACAGCTCAGCGAATGTCCAACTGGCTGCAGGAGGTCTCGTCCACGCAACACCAGTATTATACGTGGTATAGAGGACACTAACATTGGTGGAATTGCTGCGCTGGGAGAAGGTACCATTGGTAAAATCAGATAGGAAGATGGTGGACAGGAACTGGGATGCTGCTGTCACCAGGACCTCGATGAGCACCAGCGCGTAAATGTAGCGCGACATATGAGGTTGAAAGTCTGTCCCAGTCCAAATGTTGCTGGGAGCGACCTTGAATGCCCGGAGCATGGAGAAAAATGAACTCTGTAGGAGAGGGACGCCTGTGGTCTCCAAAGCGATACCCGCAACCATGGCCGTGGCAAGTCCAGCCTGGAAATCCACCACCGTTCGGATGGAGGTGGTGCAAACTGTCACCAGTTGCGCCGCCCAGCCTGCATTGACGATGCGCACCCAATAGATTCCTGGCTCTGCCCCGTCGATAGCTTTCATTGATTCGTGCCAAAAAAGAGCCAGGAGTGTCACTGCCAGCAGAAGGATCGGGAGCCCGAGGAATATAGTCAGAACACTGGTGATATCGATTCTATGCCAGATATTGCTTCGCTTGCAATGTGGCTGTTCTTCTTCGGCCTCATCGTCGTTGTTTTCCGGGTTTCTGTTGAGAGCCTCCAAGGAGATATACTCCCTTGTACCACTGGGAGCCATGGCACTAATAGCACTTGATAGCAGATGTCTGGTAGACAGTCGGAGGTAGCATAATAATATAAGTTTTATCTGAGGTCACTAATCCCCATGTAACCAATCCTTCGAGCACAGCCGGCTCAGGCAGTGTGCATCAGCCACCGAGTGATTGAGGCGCGTAAGGACGACCCAATGATGTTACGGCGTAGTTCGTACCCCGGAGCTGCTATTTGTACATATCTGCCGGAACTAGCCCTTAGAAATTACCGCGTTGGCCCATGGAAGGTCATTCCACCGAGTGGGCTGTGTGCAAATGCCAAGCGACTGTCTGTTCCAGATGGGGGCTTAGCCCAATAATTTTCTATTCTAGCTCAGCTGAGACGGTCAATGCGGCGGTCGCGCCGGCCCGCAGGATTCACACTATCTATAGCGCACTCCCCCTTCTCACCCCCAGTCGCGCCACCGTAAAGCGGCGTTCACCCATTTCTCACCTGGGCGACACCCACCGAACTATTGACCGCACATAAGTCACACGCCGGTAAGTTAGAAGTTAGGTGGATGATTACTAGCGAATCCTTACTATTGTATGTTTTTGTATTCTTTATAAAAAAGGGCTAAAATAGGATCTTGACGAGGTAACATTCTCTCACGAGACTGTACATGGGCTTGCTTTCATTCCCATTCATATGCCTTTCTCCAGTCATGCCAAGGTTAGTACTAGTAGACAGAAATAGGAAAATAGTGCCAGAGTATGCGGACTCTATTCATTTGCCTCACCTTTGACTGGGTAGACCACCAACGAATTCCCAGCTTACGAACTCCTACTTTTGGCTCCATTGCCGCACTACTCTCTATCGTCCAGAGCGAGATAGCGTAGCTTATAACATCGTTCTGCTGAGATGACATACGCCGACCAGGGATTGAAGAGGCTCATGAGAGTAAAACGATGATAGACAGGTTAGGAGCATGTTACCATAAATGAATGGGCATCCGTCTATTGGCAATTTGGAACGGTACAAAGGGAGGCATATCCATGTGGTGTGCTGCCTTTGGGGGATAATTTCCTCTTGGTCACAATGAATACAAGTTAGCGCAGCTAGCAGTCAGACAAGTCCAACATGGACTATGAGATGCCAAGTCTTGATTTTCGTGTTCTGTGCCCGGTGTTGAAGGCGTAGGTTGGACGTGTCTTTCAATGGGCTGTGCCAGACTGTTGATGCGTAGTCCACCACCGGTGTCACACAGGCCTAGTAGAGCTATCGCATTTGCTCTAATTGGAGCTGCCGGAGAATTCAAGAGCAAGTTCACCTTGTCGCCCACCGCCCACTTGAAGATTCGCTGCACGTGTTTCGTTCAGAGCAACGCCTGGCCGAATATCAAGCTTGTAATTTTAGCGATGCTAGACAAATTGGCAGTCTTACTGTTTATGGTGAATATGATCTGGTTATGTTCCCACTTTTTCCAGGTGAGTGGATGAGTTCCGTTTACTCTGCAACAAAGAAACCCCGTTCTTCATGTATTTCAAGGGACCCCGTTGGAAATACGATCAGGAAGGCCTAACCGTTTATCTATATTCCTTATGCCGAACGTACGAAGGATGAACGGGGCTTGTACATGAAGCAGGTTTGTGCGTAGTGAATTGAGGGAGCTGTGACTTGGCAGCGATGCCTCCTTTGCATGGGAGACCCGGCGACAAACTGACAAAGACAAGAACTGCATCCGAATCAGCGCTTAGCGATTTGTCACCGAATTGCTAGACGCGGAGAATAACGAAGAGATATTTGGCCGTTACCTCCCTACCCTAGCTGCGAACGCCCACATCAGAATAGCGCTGCTAAAGGCGCCATCCACCTAGGATGTATAGGTTGCGGGGATTAGTACTACTAAGACCGGATACGTGATCCGATTTAAAAACTAGGCGTCGGCCGAAGCGGCCCACAATAACACCGAGTGGCTGACCGAGTTAGGCAATGACACCAGACTAGTGAAGCCACCGTTCGGAGTGGCTGTTCAGTATATCCCGACCTCTGGGTTAAACCTTAAAAGAAGAAAAACCGAAGCCATTGAAAAGATCACAAACGAGAACGACCTTACGGACCGCGGCTTTCGAATTGAAGACATTGTATAGGAACGTTCGCCTTGTGTTAGGACCCTGCGAGGTCCTAAGTAGCAGGATGAGCTCGGGAGATAGAGTCTATCGGGAGAATGTACGTGCAGGTGTATTAAGAGACTAATTGCTGGTCCTTTGTGCGAAGGCCAGCGAGAGCAATAAATATAGGGCGCGCTTAGCTAATGTTCTTAAGTGATATGCACGATCGCTATGGCCTATACGTGCACTTGGTTATCCTCGCACTACGAGGGCTAAGGATCGCTATATGAGTATGACAAAGGTTGAAGCCGTTATAGGAAGTTGCGCGACAGCTGTTCCTAAGTGTAAGTGAAAATTTCGACTGCTGGGAGCGGCAAGTTGACCAGAGGCATAGTAGTTTCTGGTTGTTTCGATTTTGCTAGCCCAGGGGTGACTGGTCACGTCGACCGCCTTACACAGACGCACAATTTAATAAGGCTGAGAGAGATGTAATAGCAGAAATTTTAATGTTAAAGACTTCCTCACTTTCCAATGCCCAACTTGTCCAAACCGAGACTGTTCATCAGGTTATCGATTCCAAGACCACCGAGAAGACCACGAACAAGACCACCAAGGCCAAGTCCGCTCAGAAGATTATTGACAAGACCGAGAATACCACTTAGAAGCAAGCCGACTGCCGCAATAATTTGGAAAAGTGGTTCGGATAGCAATGTCCACAGCGGATTGAGTTTCTTCTTCGCATGGGGCATATCTGCGATTTTCTGACGGCCATTGTCAATGGTAGTCGTCACAGTTTGAGTCAGTTGTTTCAAAAGATCTGCTAGCTGATATTCTTCCGGTGTCGCCTCGTGAGAAGCACTGTGAGCCTTTGCGGATGCAGCGATGGACCCATCGGGGTCGAGCGCCCTAATGGTGCTCTTACACTCCTGCAGCATGTTTCCGGCATCTTCAATAAGAGGCTTCACGGTCTGGACTAGTTTCTCTTCATCCAACTCCTCTCGTGGCGTACGATCGGCTCTTTCAAGATGCTATATCAGGTTAGTTATATCAACATGTGAGGTATCCGCAGGGAAGGTTACCTGTGTGATCTGTTTGCAGAGCGGCTCCACTGATTCAAGTGTTTGCTGTATAACGGATGATATCTTCTTCGCCAAATCTCGGTCATGTTCCTCTTTGGCCTGCTGCTCAGCTTCCTCGGGTGATAGTTCGGGCTCAGGTACGGCGTCTGGTAGGTTCTCCTCCAGTGTGCACTCGCCAATTTGATTTCCATCGTTGTCAACGATATAGCCACTATCATTCACCGTCTTCCCTATCAAGGCTTTGAGGTTACCCATAGTAAGCCTGCCTATCAGATTACCATCTTCGTCGCGGACCTCGCCATCTCGGTTGACTTTTCGGCCACTCATCGGGTTAATATCGCGTTCCTTTTCCTCGGGGGTCCATCGCTCTGCACGGCCGATGACATTGCCCACTTTGTCCACAATTTCGCCATCTTCATCGACGGCACGGCCAACAAGTCTTGTCGGTTCCCCGTCGATTAGTCTACCAACCACTTCCCTTTCTGGAGTGATCACATATCCATCCATTGTTGCAGTCAGTCCATCGAGCCCAAAAAACACCCCTTCGGGTTGCTCTCGCTCGGCGGCAGGAATAAGTTCAACATTGCCCAGGACTTTCCCATCGTCACTCCAAATCTGACCTTCTCCATCCACCTTCTTTCCATTCAGCTTCTTGGGATTTCCTGAGACAAGCCGTCCAAAGACTGCCCCGTTTTCGTCGACGACATTTCCAAATTTATTGACTGTCATCCCTTCAAGTTCGGACAGGTCTCCCTCTGACTCTTCAGAGACTTCGGATGGAGTATATGGCTCAGCGCGTCCTATCACGTTGCCCACCTTATCCATGATGTCTCCATCATCATCCACAGCTTTACCCCGTAATTCTTTAGGATCTCCGTCAATGATCCTGCCAACAACAATGCCTTCCTCAGTTTCAACAAGCCCGTCTTGTCTGACCATCAGATCACCTAGGCCGCTAAAAGGCCCCAATACCTCATGCTCCTCTTCCGCAACCAGCTCAACCCGTCCAATAACCTGGCCATCGTCGCTCCACAGCTGACCTTCGTGGTCGATGGTCCTACCAGCAACCTTTTTCAAGTCCCCTTCCGTTACACGGCCTAACAACACGCCGTCTGGCCCAATAACAAAGCCTAGCTTGTTAGGCGAGAGACCTTCCACGGAAGAGAAATCGACCTCTTCTGCCTCTGGTTCCGGCTCTTCCCAGGGCTCAGCGTGTCCAATAAGATTGCCTCGCTTATCCAAAATATCTCCATCGTCATCGACAGCCCGACCAAGAAGCTTCTTTATCTCCCCATCAACAACCTGGCCTACTCGAGCGCCAGTTGCGTCTTCGACCCAGCCATCAGTGACCACGACAAGATCTTCAAACCCTGCGAATGGGCGCTGGTCCTCCTCTTCAATTGGGATTGTTTGTGCTACGCCCAAGATATTTCCTCTGTTGTCCCAGAATTGACCACGATGATCTAGCCGGAATCCTCCCTTAGATACCTCTTTGGGGTTGCCCTCAATAAGTTCACCAACTGGCACACCATCCTCGTCGACAATGTGTCCGAACTTGTTGCATTTCAGGCCTTCTAGCGTGGAGATGTCAGGTAATTCCTGGGGAATTTCCGGTGATTTGTTTGCTTCTTTCTTTTTGAAAGCTGCCTTCTTGTCTTCGAGTTCTTGCATCGCAATGTTGGCAGCCTCGCCTGGCACTGGTTCAACTTGTCCAATCACCTCTCCGGTCATGTCCATCACTTGACCCAGTTCATTTGGCACCTTTCCTGACATATGCCTAGGATCTTGACCTTCGACAACTTGGCCTAAATCCTCGCCCTTATCATTCAGAATCTTCCCATTTCTGTTGATTTCTCTGCCCCGAAGGATGGCAACGCCTGGAAGCAACACCCCACCAGTGGGCTCGGCTTCACCGGCCGGCTCTTCAACTTGCTTTGAGGAAATAGGCTCGACTCGTCCGATCAAGTCTCCATCTTCATCGAGTACTTCGCCATTCTCATCAACAGTTCGGCCCACCAAATCATCCGGGTCACCTTCAACAAGTCGCCCCAATACTCGACCGTCGTCGTCTTTGACTGAGCCGTCCTCTGCGACTGGCAGATTTGCGAGGTCCTGCAAGCTGGGGACATTATCTGTGTCCACCGCTTCTTCGACTGCATCGGCCCGCTTTGAAGTCTCGTCGCTGACAAGCTCAACTCTGCCAATCAGATCCCCATCCTCATCTAAAATCTCACCACCTTCCCCAACCACGTGGCCAGCAAGGTCGCTGGGGTCGCCTTCGACGAGTGTTCCAACTGCATTGCCATCATTGTCAAAGATCTGTCCCTCTTCGCTAACCTCAAGCCCCTTCAACTCAGACAAATCCGTGGGGAGACTGGGAATCTTCTCCATGAGTTTGCTGGCAACACCCCCTTCGTCAGGCTTGAACTTTTTGGCGACACCTCGAATGTTATCTTGAATGTCGTCGAAAGCGCCCTGCGATTCCCCAGCGGTAGCCCGATTGCTGAGATCTCTGACGGTGCCCGTTAGATCCGAAATACGCGAGGCTGCATTCTTCCCTCGCTGGAAAAATGAGACCCCACCCGACCCAGAGGCGGAATCAGTTTTTGTCGTTTCAGATTTTCTCTGCTCTTTAGAGGGAATTTCTGCCACCTGTTGCGCATCTTCTGGGACTTCAACCGCCTCTTTATGCTCTTCGACGGACTCTCTTATTGGCAGTGGCTCCTCATTGTCCAAGTTGACTGCACTCCCTTCATCTGGTGTCCCAGGTTTGTCGACATTCGGAGACTTGATTTGCGATACCTTTTTCTCTTGGGAGGCTGGAGACAATTCTCGGGTTCCCGATTTCTTTGGCAACTTTCGAATATTCTTCTTGGGTGCTGTTGGTGTCAAGGGCTTGTTGATGGGTTTCGCCTGGTTTACAGGCTTGATCTCTGATGCTCCCTGATCAGGTAAAGGGCTTTGGGAAGCTGAGTCTCTTCCCATGGACTTCTTAGGCGGTACTAAATGCTTTTTCGCTGATGGAACTCGCTTTGTCGCCGGTGATGCCATTTCGTTCTTGCGCTTTTGCAGCTTTCGGCAACCACTTTTCTTTGAACTAATATCTCGTTTTGCAGGTATAAATTGATGACTAGTAGGTTTTCATTAAATGTATATTATTACAGCGCGGGAGATGTTCGAGCATGCAATTTATATTCTATCACAACAGGTAAGATTTTATATTCTTCATGATATCATCATTATTATACCCCTCGGGACCAGGAACTGGCCGACTCGCCACATCTGGGGCTACAGATAAATTGGCCACTGATTACCAGTTGTAACCGAACTACAAGGTTTACCGTGGAACAATGACCCTCAAGCGAGACTACGTTGATACTTGGGGTTCGCAATGGGGCCTCAATGACACAGATATACCGTGGTACCACAAAGCCTCCTGGTCATTATAGAAGGATTCTACCTCATCATTCCATGCCATGGGCTTCATTAACTAAATCTGTCCGTCAAGTCTAGCATGTTGCCACACCAAGTTTGCCTTGGACACTTGTGGCACTGAGAACTAGTAGCTCCTAGACGTTCTTGTTCAATTTAAGTCAAATTGATGCCTAGGGTTTGAAACAAGGCAATTTGGAATACCAAAAATCAACATCCTTAGAGTCAATAAATCATTACTACACTAGGCAAATAGCTAACCACACCCTAGTGCCAATAGGCATCGGTCAATTTACTGGTTAATTAGGCCCTGCATATTATGAGCTTCATGCTTCCCAAAGTATGATAATGATAATGAAGGACTAACAGAAGACTTAACGTCAGATCTCCACGAATTTTAGCTTTTAACTCGACCTCAATATCAAGGTTTAGATCAAGTCTCAAGCTCAACGCAGTTCCAGCATCTTTTACTATCGCTTGCCCCGGTCCGTTTCGCTCAGTTATCGGTTGTATTGGAGCTATTCCTCTGTTTGCCGGTAATGCTGCACTCGTTTTTCTTCGAATAACTTCTGTTGTGGGTGCATGTCTATCATCTGGGGCTGAGGCTTCTCTTTCGATAGACTCGGTTTCAGATGTCGTTATAGAATTGGGATTCGATCTCTCCAATTGGCTGGCCTCGCTTGTGTATTTATCTTGGAAGGAATCTTCCTGGTCGGTGTATAAATCAGATTCATCCTCTTCGCTCGAATGAACTGCGTCTTTTGGAAGAGGTGGCTTTTTCTGTGTGGTGACTGTATCCATATTCAGTGGTTTGCATAAATGAGAAACGAATCTTGTAGGTATATAACCAGGTAAATGAAATTGATCACATAATCAAGTCACAGCTCGCATCCACGGTTCCCATAGTTCATGACGTTGCAGATCCTCGGGTATGATCAATTTCATTGGTTCTCAGCCGGAAGCTCCGAGCATTGTACGTTGAATCGGACTTTTTTGTTAGCTCGAAACAAGTTTTAACATCGCTTCTATGTCTGTGGCTGACTTAATGGGGGCTCTTCATCATCTGCGAGAATCCACACTCGGCAAGATTCTTGTTGTCCTTTATGTCCTGATCAAGCCTATCCTGACGTCAGCGAGGCGAACTGAATGCAATTGCAACCTGGGCAAAGGAAATTCTATTTCATAACAATTCACACTTTCATATCTCTATCTAGTACAACACTTGACTGTATTTTGTTATCATAATGCAAGCGCAGTCTAATCATGATATGCAAAACGCGAATGGTAGCGCAAGTGCTTCCGCACCGAACAGGAAGCCCCCGCCCCCCAAACTCCGACCTCCCAAGCTGCGGAAGGGTTCAACTTCAGATCCAGCAACAAACGGCTCTAATGAGCAAAGAGTGAATGGTGTCCCAGACTCTACCAAGTCAAATTTCCCTTCCGCAAACTTGGGTAGCAATTCCACAGATCCGAGACAGAATGACCGACGACCACCTTCACCTCAGGCTGCACCGCAGGTTGAAAAACAGAACCAGCGTACTCGACACCACCGGAGAGCCCGTCGGGTTTCGACAGAGTCACAAGATCCATATCAAGATCAAGGAATCGAGCGCGAGCAAAGGGACAATAGAAGTTCCGAACAACGGACGGTACAGGAAAGGCGGGTGAGCCACATACTTAACCCTCCGGAAACCCAGGGCCAGATAGAGCGGGCCAGCGAACTTGTTCCAAAACCAGCAACTGGACCTGTCGAGCAAGTGACAGAGACTACGGAAGTAAAGCCTCAGTCGGCAAAGAACGATCAATTAAAGTTGAGATTGGACTTGAATCTGGATGTGGAAGTTGAATTGAAAGCAAAGATCAGAGGGGATCTAACGTTGCAACTACTGTGTGTGACAATTTCCTTCTGTCGGCTGGCTTTAGTTCGTGGATTGCTAACTTGTGTTGCAGACAATAATAAATCTTTTGTCTCCACTAAATTCGTTGTTCTTCGGGGACATCCAGGTTTGCCAGGAACGACTAGATCATGAATTTGTGCTCCAATTGCACTAGAGCGGAAAGGTGAATCGAAGAACTGGCAGAGGTATTCTGGTGTGAGAGTATCTGGCCGTGGTTGGCTTGCGATATCAATACCATTCTCAGGCACATAGGAAAGGGAGAGCTGCCAGTAAAACCGGACCTATGAGCCGTTCGCTGCTACCTCTGCATCGTAATGATTCTATACTATTTCAATGTCGGAAATGGTCGAAAATGCCGAATTATGTCATGTTTGGCTTATATACATGATCGCTCTGCTAGTTTATTCATGTTTAAGCCCTCAAACATTTCATTGACAGCCAATGGATGACACCGAAATCACTCCTAACCGCTCTTGACACTAGTCTTTTTCGTTAAAAAGCGAAAGACTATATAACTTGCATTAATACTCATTCTAGTATATACGACCATAGGGGATTTAGCTGTCAAGTTTGCTTCAATTGTCCTCAAAAAGCGATATTTTGCTAGTTAGTCGCCGACCCCAAATGCTCGGCATGGGTGAGGGTGCTTGCATCGTATTATCGACCAGTAAAACGACTTCGGTCAAAATCCACAGTAGCTATATAAAGAGGTTCTGGCATTTTCTAGAGGCTAGGCTCTTTCAGTCTATCACCGTCATGTATATGAACCTATACAGGATGGTTCGAAATCATTTTCACCGCCTAACTCTCATATATTATGTCCCGAACCCTATTTCAAAACACGCCGATCCGTTCATAAGTATCAAAATGCATTGTCCATCAATACCACGTGCTCGCCAATCCCGTAAATCACCCGAAGAGCCAATACGATTTCAAGCAATCTTCGTCAATTTGGAAGGGTTAGGAAGCTCCCAACCTTTTGTGAGGTAAGGTTGCAATTATTGCAAAATTGATAAAATATCAAGTCCGTTTTACCACCTCTTCGCCTTATCTTCCTCCTGGAATTTCAGCGCTTTCAGCATCGACGTCGTCACCATATTTAGCGCCCACCGAGGCATCATCTCAAACGCCAGCCCCTGCACCCAGTGCCAGAAATACCCGTATACAATAACCTGCCCACAGCCAACACGATTCAACCCAGCCTGCGCCATCACCCGTGGCGTCGGCACAAACCAGCCCAGAGCAACCGGGTACCCGGGTGTGCTCACCTGGCCCACGCGTAGACCCAGCACCTCGACCCCCAGTCCCTCGGCGGTACACTCAGCCTGCAGTGCATACGTAAAGGTATCGACGAACCCCTTTGTTGCAGCATAAATAGTCACATAGGGTAGCCCCCACGCCGCGACGGACGAAATATTCAATATAACGCCTGGGTCTCCCGCCGCTAGAAGGGGTAGCAGTATGCGCGTAATTTGTGCGACGAAGTTCGCGTTCTTCGCGATCGTCTCCTGCACATCCTTGAAGCTATAACTATCTAGCGTCCCAGAGGGCCTGCCGTCACCTCCTACATTGTTCACCAGGACGGTTAACTGGCCCCCATGGGCGGCTAGAATAGCAGAAACCTCGTCAGCAACCCCGTCCACGGAGGATGTGAGATCGACAACGTCTAGTACGATAATGCCTGTCTTGCGGGTTGGGAAGCGCTCGTTTAGCTCGCTAGCGCGTCGCTGGAGCTTAGTGCGGTTACGTCCGTGCAGGATGACGTTGAAGCCGCGGGCACAAATCTCTTCGCAGAAGCCGAAGCCAATTCCATCAGTTGCGCCTGTTACGAGGGCCCAGTTGGTACCGGGCCGGTTGTAGCGAGCTGTTAGTGTACTGCGAAGGAGGAATGTTGTTGCTTGGCGGGTGAAGTGGAGGGTTACGTAAGCCAGGGCTGCAAGGCCGATGTAGCTGAGTGGAGTGCTCCAGCTTGAGATACACATATTGTAGATTTAATGTTTTGTTTAAGTTGTGGGTATAGTTGTGGTTGTGATATTGATGTGGACAAGGGAAATGCGGAGAAAAAGAGGGGCCAGTCCTGTGGAGGCGGATTGCTGAGAGATGGGAATTCAAGTTATGATGTCGGAGCAGTAGTGCAAGACCCCACAAGCAGATCTCTAGGTTGGAATGGATAAGCAAAGTAGAAGCCTAGTATAATGCGTGTGAAACAATATGATAGTATTGTAGAAGACTCAACGCTGGTCCTGGGAAGGACCAGCGGGAACTCTCTATATAGGACTGCCCCTGCTAGGTGATCGGCCATTATATGAAGTCATATCTGACGTGTCCCCAACTGCCCTAGCGCATCTGGCGGTAGTGCCTAAGGCAATCCATGTCTGGCGCAGTTGCCTAAGTCCAATGTCGGGCGGTGGTCCTGACAAGCAGAGCCTATGGGGGCTTTGTATTCAGAACGAAATTATATAGTTGGGATACTAGTCAGAACTACAAATTGGTCGGTGCGCCTAGGTGGACCAGTAGACCAGTAGTCTGGACTAGAGAGTCAGTGTCCGTACTGGAAGGAAGTGGTGTGATTGTCTAGCTGTGATTGGCTGTCGGATATGATATATGCGACCTACGACAAGAACAACTCTTTATTGCTATATCCATGAATCTGGCAATTCGAAGAGATGTCTGATTACAAGAAATAAACACATGTGGAATATATTTACCAGTCTCCACCGCAGCATTCGTGCCGACATTGGCTCGTCGCCTCAAATTCATTCCTACACATACATAGTATCCAGGGTGGGACGGACTGCGTGACCGGTTCCCATTGTTCGAATCTCCAGGCTGAAAGATGTAATTGATGAGACAGATTCCACATCATCTCTAAATCTAATTGTAGGTCTAGCCCTTACAATAAACCCAAGTTAAACAAAGTGGGGGACAAAGGCGATCAGCAGACGCTAGAAATGAATGAGAACCACAATATACGACAGAACTTTCAGCATATACAAAAAAGTGTAGTCTCCTATTAGGGTTAATACTGGGTTCTAAACACCATCGTGGCCTTCTATTGTGTATGAAACGAGCGTGGACAAAGACTGTGTGCGTGTGAAAGGAGGATAAGTTGGCGGCGATCTTGCCTGATCGCTAGTTAGAGCTTCCCCTACGTTTGAGCTGTTTTGCATGGAATATACTCCGAGGTTCCATAAAGCGTTTCTGTATTATAACAATGATGCATTTCTTAGACGATACAATCTAGCAGGGGCTTTTGTAAGAGTAACTAGGCTTAGACTAGAGTGATTCAAGGTAGGGTTCTGGAAATAATTTATGAGTTGTTTTCGAATATGACACTAACTATAATCTAAATAAGGCCAAAATCGTACTATCTAGGATTCTAGATAAGAGTACTAAGTGGAAGCTAATCTCGAATATTAGTGTACTACCTTTTTGTTAACGATTTCAATAATAATAGTTAGATTAACTTAGGCTAAGCGGAAGGAGCTCCAACTAGAAAGTACTGCTGACCTGGCTGATGAAATACTCCATGTTCTCACCGTAATAAATTCAAGATCGACACTACCAGTCGTATAATCTTTGAGGATTCAAAACCATCAGTGAATGCCACTCGGAATCCGCTAGCCAGGACCGTAGACTCTTCAACCAAGCCCGATCATCAATTTCCAAGAACGGCGTTTCCTGAAGTGCTTCCTCTTTAGTCCGCACTTTCATCAAAGGCGTATGAGGCCAATCACTCCCCCAAAGCAACTGCCGAGGATTCGCATCAAACAAAGCACGTACAAGAGGCTTCAAGTCTGCATAATCTGGCGCTTTGCTGCTAACCCGATACGGCGCGCTGATCTTGACATAAAGATGACCCTCCCGCACAAGATCCATCAACTCATGGAACCCGATCTGCTGTGAGACATCTCCTTGGCATTCAGCAGGCAACATGCTCGCTCCTTTCAACAATGCGAAATGGTCAGTCACGAGCCGAATACCTCTAGGCACGATTTCCTGCGCAATGATCGGTTTGAGATCTGGCCAGAACTCCGGGTGGGTGTGTGTAAACGCCATACTCCAGCCAGTACAGCGGCCACTGAGGACTTGTGCGTGTTTCCTTAGGATTTGCTTCTGTAATTCGACGTCGTGCATGGCTGAGTATCGGTATATATTAACTCTTATACCCCGAATGCCGTTGATCTGCATTTCTCGTAGCTGTGCTGGTGTGACGGTCTCCGGGTCGATCACTGCTATTCCTCTGGTGTTGTCTCGGCATAAGTCGGCGATGAAGGTTGTAAGGCATGTGCTATCGGCTCCGTAGGATAATCCGTGTGTCAGAACTGAATGGCTGATCCCGAGCTGGTGTTTGAATTCGTTGTATGCATTGATCGTAGCGGGTGGGGGTGTTAGATGGCGGTTTGGGTCGTAAGGGAAGCGCTCGGCTGTAGAATTGATTTAGCTGTTCTGGGTGGTCAAGAAGATGTGAGAGGTAATTGAAGCGTACGCTCAAATATGTGATGATGGACGTCCCATCCGCCATTGGGGAGTAGTTGTGACATTGTAGTTATAGTGTGGTATCTTGCTCGCTGGTAGTCGTATCTAATACCCTACGAGCGGGTTGCCGTGAAGGTATCCGAAAAAGACATGTCAACTAGAGTTGGCATTATTCGGTTACTTAAGTCTTAGCTAAAAATATATGACCATAACGAGGGCTGAAAGGCTCTATGGCAGCTCCGACACCGAGGCAAAGTTTGGAATCCGGAGGCTGCATCCACACTAAGCTGGAGCTCTCCGGGTGAAGCTGGATGACTCCGGCCTCATTTCATTTCCTCTCTGTCGGCCTCTGTACTCCGGATCCCCAAATAAATCGCAAACACGAGTAGTGCCTGGCTCTGGCCACAAAGGATATGCAACTCTGAGGGAGTAATTTTAAGTTCATCGGTAATGTTGCGACATCGGAATGCCCCTCCGCGACTAACCCTTTGCGTTGACAAAGGGTTAGTACTAACGACCCGAGTCGCGAATTTGGTTTATTATCGTTGCAACTGCCGTACATAGGAACAACCAATATGAGTGTCCTTTTGCTTGGAACGGCCTATGTCGCCTCGGCAAAACATGTCTTCCAAGAAGCAAGTATCACCGTGGCAGTCAATCCTCGCTGGAGGCGCTTCCGGTGGAATTGAAAGCCTTGTTACTGTATGGAAAGAACATTTATCATGAAATCTCTTCAGAACATAATTGCTGATCGTTCACGATAGTATCCTACAGAATATGTGAAAACCCGCCAACAGCTTCTGCAACCTGGAAACTTATCAAACCAGTCGATCGTACAACTCTTTACTTCCACGATCCGTCAAAGTGGCTTTCGAGCACTCTACACCGGCGGTGGAGTCTTCTGTGCCTCTAATGCATCCAAATCAGCCATCCGCTTCTTCACTTTCGACTTCGTCCGCCGATCTATGCCGACCGATGCAGCTGGTAAGATGACACCACTGGGAACTATGGGCGCCGGACTCATGGCAGGTGTGGCAGAGGCAGTTATTGTGGTTACGCCGGGTGAAACAATCAAGACCAAAATGATTGATGATCGTGCTGGACCGAGACTGTATAGGTCAACTGGGCATGGTGTTGTCTCGATTGTCGCGCAAGATGGGTTGCGCGGGCTATACCGTGGTGTCATTCCCGTTACCTTAAAGCAGGCTTCCAATGCTATGGTGAGATTCACGAGCTATGGCATTCTCTTGCGCCAGATGGAAGCTATGTCTGTGCCAACGCCCATTAGAACGGTTGCGGCAGGGGCATTAGCAGGTGTTGTCACCGTGTATACTACCATGCCGTTTGATTCAATCAAGACGCGTCTCCAGGCCGTCGCTGGCAGCCAGAAATATCGGGGTTCTTATGACTGTGTGCGATCAGTGATCACGCAGGAAGGTGTTTCTGCATTGTGGAGAGGAACGACACCGCGGTTGATTCGTCTAAGTGTGAGTTGTCCATTCCACGAAATCTGTCAATCACTAATATCATACATTGTTAGGTGTCTGGAGCTCTGAGCTTTTCAATTTATGGGTATGTAATTGAGTGGACGAATGTTTTGTCACATAACTCGGCGGAGCGCCAGACAACTGGCTTCTAGCTTAGGTATAGCTTAGATAAAATCTAAATTGCAACAACTTCAAAAGCAGGACCTTACAATGCCATTGCTTTAGCATATCTTATAGAGTTTGCTGGGAAGCCTACGAGCCACGTCGGTATTGGAGCGGTTAGCATTTAAGCGGGCGAGATCGCCACCGTAACTTACCCCAGACTCGGCGTCTTCCCCACAGAAAAACTCCCGTTCGCATCTCCCTACTATCGCCCCCAGCTCACGTCTGATAATGCCTCGCAATATATTCAGGGGCTCTTAGCACCGGAAAGGCTCTGCACACAGACAATGGCTCCTGAAGAAAACACTGGCGCCGCTGCACCGCCCAGGAAGGTCCGCTCGGCATGTCGCCGATGTCGCCAGAAGCGCGTCAAAGTGGGTGCTCCTCTCAACGATGATACAACCCTGATATTGACAGGGCCAGTGTGATGGGGGTATCCCTGCATGTAGTAATTGCGCTCGTGCAAAAGTTCCCTGCATCGATGTGCATACTGGAAATAACGAGTTGTCAATCCCGCGAGAGTGAGTCAAGTCATTCTGAAGACTTCAAGGCTGAAGCAGGCCGCTTACCCTATGGATCCAAAGCTTTACCATTAAATGCTGTGCTCGTATAAAATGGCTCGAGCAGCATCTAGGGGCACTCTGCCCAGATTTCGATTTGGCCCAGGGCCCCCAAGTCAATGCGGACTTCATGGAGACCCTGAGTACATCGCAAGACGCCGCCACCATACCTGAGTCTACTACAGAACTTCAAAGGGGTATCTCAAATACACTTATGAATGACTCACCCCCGGAAGAAACCACTGTAAACAAACGGTCACATTCCACGATGGAATCCGACGCCGACTCTCCGCTTTCCGCCAAAGCCCGGTCGGTGGCTATTGACCTCGGTATGCTTTCTTTGCAATCAGACTCGCGCCAAAAGCATTACCTTGGGTCTTCCTCTGGGCTACTATTTACCAAGCTCATGGGTCTGGATGATGAACTTCGCCCAGCACAAGCTTCACGGCAAACCCGACGATTGGCTCCTCTCCGTATATCGGACGAGGTTTACAGAACCCTCTATGGGAGGCTGAAAAGTGTAAGTGCCTTGGTAGAAGGTCCTTTGGACTAAGTGATTACTGACGTTGCAAAGGAACTTCCCTCGCCCGATGAGGCGTGTCTTCTGCTGGAAATTTATTTCCAAAACATCCATATTGATCAACCATTCATTCATCCTGCATCGTTGGTCAATGCATACCAGGCATTGTATACCTGCGCACAGCGTGGATACGACAGTTCCGTTGACCGGAATGGATGGCTCCATGACCTTGATATCTTCTCTTATAACGGAAAATTCGACCATTTCGCTGGCCACAATGCCACTCCAATCTCTATATTCACCGCTGTCTTCCATATTTCTATGGCATTCTCTCTGGCTGCAACAGTCTTGACGCGCAAGAAAAATTACGATTTCTCTCCGGCACGGTTTCACCGAATGGCAATGTCTACAGCATCGGAAACATTTTCCAACATTTCGGTCACATCGTTGCAAGCCATCTTATTGTTGACTGTCCAGAGTCTGATTGAACCGGCTGGCATCAATGTGTGGACATTGACTCATATAGCTATATCTCATTGCATTGATCTTGGGCTACATCGTGAGCCAACTGAATTCGAGGCCCCAAGGGATGCAACGACCATTCTCAGGTTCATTTTCTATACCGTCTACTCACTTGATCGGTAAGAAGCATCATTTTATGTTCTTAGTCGCTAATTATAACTAACATAAAATCCCCAGATCAATCGCTACAATTCAAGGGCGACCTTTGGGAATTCGCGACGAGACATTCGATATCAAACCTCCAGATGAGACGGATATTGCTGCGATGACAAGATTAACAGACAGCGATCTTGAAATCAAAGTACCAATATCTCAGCTCCTAGCCTTGTCAATATGCAGGTTTCACTTGGACCAACACATTTCCGAGATCAAACTCTTACTCTACCACCTACCGACCCGGAACCATAGCTTTGTGTGGCCTACAAATCTTTCAGAAATACAAACACGCATCAAAAACGAGCTGGATCAATGGCTGGCTGGTGTTCACCGGATCGCACCCACGGGGAATATGGATGATGACGACAAAGTCAAACTGCAATTCGAGAAGATGAGGCAAGAACAACTTTACCATTCTGCAATTACGCTTTTGTTCCAGCCCTCACAAGTATTCCCATCGCCTAGCCAAGAAGCTTTGACCCTCTGCTATCAAAGCTGCAGCAAACGCCTCCAGATCTACGATGCAGTCGGTACCCGGGACATGCTCTATTACAACTGGCGCAACATCCATGGGATATTCTCCTCAGGGGCTACTATAGTCTACTGTGCCTGGGTTTCACGGGAAATCCAAAGAACTGTGCCGTTTGCAAAGCTTCTTCGGGATCTCCGGACTTGCTCGAATCATCTTAGCATTGGAAGCCAGTGGTGGCCTTCTGTGCGGAACGGCAAGGAGAGCTTTGAAACGATGATCGATCTGGTCATAAAGTATTTCAGCGACCTACAGCTGCAAGTGTTCCCTCTTTCAGCCCATAGGCGGCGCCTTGAAAGTAATGCTCAATTCCTCGAAAGCCAACCTCCAGTGTTTGGCGCACATGATCCTGATAGGGATGTTCAAGGCTACGGAGTAACTCAAGAAAGCCAATATTCGCAGTCTGAACGTCCAGTATTTCATAATCAAAACCAACAATTGGAGACTAGTAAGTCAAATTCAATACTTTTTCGTTTCAAGTTGAATTGGCTAGTTTTGCTGACGGTTCTCATGCAGACGGGTATCAACCTTTAGAACCAGACCTTGATTCCGTGCTTGTCGATTCCTTACAGGATCTTAACGGCTCTTCAATTGAAGCGGCAATGGAAAACTTCATGGCCGAGTTCTTGCACGAAGATTGGGGCTGGGATCCCTTTTCCAGTTCAACTGGTGCATTCGACAGCGGTCCTGGATTTCCGTAACCTGCTTATTGTCGCATTGGCTCTACAGCTGGACTTTATGAAATTATAACTGTAGCTGAGTGACTTTTGCTTTACCACGTCTTTGGGTCCGCGGTAGTCTCACAACCCACATCATATACATCAATATATTTTCTAAACCGCCCTATCGAGAAGTCTACTGTGCGCCAATAAAATCGATCCCTTCGCCAGTAAGAGACGTTCCTCATTCCCAACGACGTACAATCGACGGAGCCATCCGCCCCACCCGGAGCGCTCCTGAGCGCTCCATCTTCGATCCTCGGCAGATGCGAACATTGCAAATGCGCCGATTTTCGTCGCTAGTTTCTATCTGCACTTTCAAAATGGCGTTACATGGAAGCGTTTATTCTTCTTCAATCTCCCGCTGTTGCAGGTTTATCGCGTTGATTCGCGATTAAACATGATGTGGCAAGCTCTCCGGCGTGTTGCGTCCACACCAGCACTACAAAAATCTCTATGTACCAACTCGAGAAGTTTAACAACCGAAGCAAGTGGCTCAAGCTACTTTGGAGTCAACTACAGAAAACAGCTTGCAACTCTCGACATCCTTAAACGACGTTCGCGACGCCCCTTGACCTTGACCGAGAAGCTGCTGTATAGCCATTTGATCATTGATAGCGATCGGCAATGGGATCTCGAACAGATTGAAAGAGGAAATACCATTCTAGAGCTGAGACCCGATCGAATTGCTTGTCATGATGCTACTGCGACTATGGCCCTGCTCCAGTTCATCAGCGCTGGCCTGCCGCGTGTCATAGCACCAACAACGGTGCATAGTGACCACTTGATTATTTCGGAGAAAGGTGCGGTGGAGGATCTCACGCGAGCTGCTTCGGAGCATGCTGAAGTCTATGACTTTCTCAGCAGTGCGTCCAGGAAATATGGTATTGGCTTCTGGACGCCAGGTTCCGGCATTATTCACACTGTGATTTTTGAGAACTACGCCGTGTAAGGAGATTTTATCACCCCTCTATGTATGCCAGTACTAACTTGCGGCTTTATTTAGACCGGGTGGACTAATCATCGGAACCGACTCTCATACACCGAACGCCGGGGGCCTTGGGATGCTTGGGATCGGAGTTGGAGGTTCAGATGCTGTCGATGCCATGTCGGGCATGCCTTGGGAACTCGTCGCTCCTAAAGTTATTGGTGTTCGATTGACAGGCCATCTCCAGGGCTGGGCATCAACCAAGGATATCATTTGCAAGCTGGCTGGCATTCTCTCCGTTTCTGGTGGAAAGGGATCAGTCATTGAGTTCTTTGGCCCGGGCACACAGACGTTGGGAGCAACGGCTATGGCGACTATTTGCAACATGTCGGCAGAAATTGGCTCAACATCGTGCATCTTTCCATACACTGAGGCCATGGGCCGATATCTGACCGCCACAAAGCGCGATTATGTGGCCCAAGCAGCTAGTCGAGTTCAAGACGTCCTGTTATCCGCAGACGAGGGGTCACATCAGTACTATGATCGAATCATCGAGATCAGCCTCGATACACTTGAACCACACGTCAATGGTCCGTTCACTCCCGATTTGGCACACCCCATAACTGAGCTCAAAGATGCCGTTGGAGCGAAGGATTGGCCCGTTGAACTGAGCCATGCCATGGTTGGCAGTTGCACGAATAGCTCGTATGAAGACCTCGACAAGTGCCGACAACTAGTGGCTCAGGCCAAAGCTGCAGGTATTCCAAAGTTCAAGGTTCCCTTTGTCTTGACGCCAGGTAGCGAACAGATCCGTGCCACTGCCGAGGCCGACGGTATCCTTGACGAGATCAGAGAAGCTGGCGCTGTTGTATTTAGCAGCTCCTGTGGTCCTTGTGTCGGCTCTTGGGATCGCAAAGATATCGACGTGAAGGGAAAAGAGAAGAACTCGGTCATTTCAAGCTTCAATCGCAATTTTGTGGGCCGACATGATAGCAACCCCGCTACTCATTCCTTTGTGACTTCTCCTGAAATTGTCACGGCTTTTGCTTACTCTGGACGCCTTGACTTCAATCCCTTGACGGATACTGTTTCTTTCGAAGGATCGTCCCTCAAGTTCGAACCACCAATTGATCATGAGCTTCCATTGAGATATCTTTCCGGGGTGGACACATTCCAAGAGCCACCACCGGATGGATCGTCTCTTCCTATCGCTGTTCATCCACAGTCCGACCGGCTCCAGCTTCTTACCCCATTCCCCTCATGGCAGCCAGGGTGTGCCACTGATATGGAACTTCTGATCAAGGTGACTGGAAAATGCACAACTGACCATATCTCACCTGCCGGCCCCTGGTACAAATATCGCGGCCATCTCGAAAACATCAGCAATAACATGCTCACCACAGCCACCAACGCTTTCCTTCCCAACACACCCCAGATGCTCGGCCACACAAAGCACCCATTGACTGGACAGACCCAAGTCGTTCCCGAGGTAGCGCGAGACCTTCAACAAAAAGGTATCCGCTGGTGCATTATCGGCGACCATAACTATGGAGAGGGGAGCTCGCGCGAACATGCAGCTCTCGAGCCACGCTATCTTGGTGGAACTGCAGTGATTGCCCGCTCCTTTGCACGCATTCATGAGACAAACCTCAAGAAACAGGGCATGTTGCCGCTTACTTTCAATGATTCGGTCGATTATGATCGGATTGCTGAGGGTGATCGCATCTCTCTATTTGGTGTGGAAGATGGTGAGCTCCAGCCTGGAAAGCCAGTCAGGATGAGAGTGACTAGTAACGATGGTACCCGCTGGGAAGCTCAACTGAATCATAGTTATCACAGTGGGCAGCTCACTTGGCTACGGGCTGGTAGTGCGCTGAATCACATTAAAGCCACGTTGCTCCAGAAATAGGAGGTGGTTCATTTACCGGACGTATCTTTACTGCATGTTTGTATAGTTACTTCATGGACCTTTCAATATCCAACTTGTTTCGATTTTGAACTACCTATATTCTTCAAATACAATTTACTATAACTCATGAGTTTAATTTGATTGATAGTCACATTAGAGTCTTATCTCCAAACTCCCCATGGGTGCCCAACAAGTTGTCTCGCCGATTAGCTCTATGAATCGCCATGTGAAATTAAGGTTGCTTGATTGGCTGGCGGCGCAAAGAGGCTTATAAAAAGTTAAAAAGGCGAATTCCCCAACGTCCACGGATCACTCCGTACTCTCTCGGAACACCCCTTTGCCCCAGACTTGGCGCTCAACCACGCACTTCAATCAATATGACCCAATCGCTTTGATATGACCGGGGCTACGCGTAGGAAACCTCTCCCCCGCACAAGTCCTTTGGCCATGGGACTCGTCACCTTCCTTGATACTGCTCCCATTGGATCTTGCTTCTGGTGGATCATGGTGCCATATAAGCCGACTAAACAGAGAATATGCGCAACAAATTGATATAAGTCTAGCTGTCTGCCTGTGTCTAGCCTGAAGAAACGCTGATACCTTCATATCTTGTTTTCATTTACAGTTGAATACTTTACTTTCTTAGCAATGGGAGCAGCCGGTGGAGGCTGGTCTAATGAGGCCATTCGAAAGGTCCCTGCCCCAGCAAAGAGGGCCTATATCTGGCTCGCTGTCATCTGGGCCTCTTATTGTGGTGGTCTCCATGGCTTTAACACAGCCAATATTTCTGGGACTATGAGTCTCAAGCCATTCAAACGAGACTTTGGCTGGACAGATCTCCCCGTCTTGGTAGTCTCCAACTACTCTGGCTGGGTGGTCTCCTCGATGCTTCTGGTGTGTTTGTCCCACATTGTGAAACTTACTGCTTTCTCTATACCTTAAGACTCTCGAAATTGGGATGCTGACAGTTACTCGCAGGGTCAAACTGTCGGTGTTCTGTTGTCTGGGCCATTGGGCGAGCGCCGTGGACGAAAGTCCGTAGTCATGGCCGCAGCTATTTTCTACACGATTGGTGCCATTCTAATGGCCGCGAACTTTGGTTCTCTCGCAGAATTGCTTGTCGGTCGAGTCCTCTCCGGCGTCGGATCCGGCCTTGGAATGACAGCAGGCACTATCTACATTTCTGAAGTCGCTCCAACCGAGATGCGAGGAATGATGACCACCTTCTATAACATTAATATCATGAGTGGTGTAGCTGGCAGTTACTGGATCAACTATGGTTCCCTCGAAATCATCCCTGTCCAATCCAGTTGGCAGTGGCGTACGACTCTGGTCTTGCAGCTGATTCCTTCAGTTGTTCTCTTTATTGGGTGGCCATTCTTTCCTGAAAGTCCTCGATATCTTATGATGAGGGGACGAGAGGAAGAAGCACATGCCAGTTTGCTTCGTCTGCGTGGCTTGGAACCTACCGATAGCTACTTCTCTCGCGAGTGGGATGAACTAAAAGGCCGTGTGAACGCAAACACAGAAGTCCAATCGGCTCTTATGTCATTCAAGTCTCTTGTTGGATCCTGCATCACCGATCCTCCAACTCGGAAGATGCTCATATTCGTCATCATCATCCAGACCTTCTTCATCATGAGCGGCGGCAACTCGATCACGTATTATGCGCCGACGATTTTGAAAACAATCGGTCTGAACTCAGAGCAAGTCCTTTTATTCAGCGCTGTATACGGCCTCATCAAAGTTATCAGCGTTTTCCTCTATGCCTTCTTCCTGACCGATCGTTTCGGCCGCCGCCCATTACTCCTCATTGGCTCCGCCATCAACACCGTGTGTCTGCTATATCTCTCAGTCTATCTCGGTGTATCCGACCTCTCCAGTTCATCTGATAGTCCGTCGCCAGCAGCATGGGTGGCCATCGTGGCCATCTGCATCTTCGCAATCGGCTATGGATTTGGTTGGGCGCCAGCCTTCTCTCTGACAGCGTCCGAAATCTGCCCAACCTCAAGTCGAGGTACTGTCGTGACGATTGCTTTTATTTACCAGAATCTGCTCAATTTTGGAATTTCTCGTGGTTTCCCAAACATGACCGAGACAATGCATGCATGGGGTCCTTTTGCACTTTTCACTGCGTTTACGGGATGTGCCACTGTATGGGTGTTTGTAGCTTTCCCTGAGTGCAAGGGTCGGAGTATGGAGAGTGCACAATCATTGTTCTCCTTGCCTTGGTACAAGATCGGATCCGTTAAACTACCTGCTGTTGATGAGCAAACCGCCAATTTGGATATCAATGTGGACGTGGAGAAAGCAACAAGCAGTGAACATGAAGAGAATGTCGAGTCGGGGAGTGTGAGGAAGATTTGATGTATTTAGTTTCATACTCTCAACGCGGCATATAGCACACCATGATCCAACTTGCCAATATTACCCTCCTCCCAATATCATCGAGGACATGGAACTGAATTATGCAACATTGAAAGTATGCTAATAGTTCCGGTCTCTCGGCTTGTCATTCTCAGAAACAACACTCGAACAAGAGTCATATGATAAAAAGGAGAACGGCTCTATTTTACCGAACAAAAGTCCACAATCAGGTCATGACCCATGACACGTCCTCCGTCTTTACTGCAGAGCCTTTTTATAATCAACTATTCCAATCACAAAATTTGCGCGGCCAAAATCCTAGATTAAGACTTCCGTTGATTCCAATTGACGGCCATTCTATGTCGCGTTGTGCTGATATCACGCAAGAATCTGACCTGCAATCTCTGTGCTTCCCAGCATTTGAATTAGCTCTTGACATCATGACGATGAGATATCGCGATGCAGTGAGGAAGTGAACGCATATTCAACATCAGCCTTGCGGAACCCCGGTACTCGACCTAGAATGACAGTACTGTGTAATAGTTCTGTCGTTTTGTAAGTATATCTTGGCAAACCATCACAACATCTTCGAACTCACTGCGACAGAATAAGCCAATATCAAGGATGCGATCTGCTTTCCTACCCGATATCTTAGGAAGTGCACAGTGTTGTTTCATGGAGACTCCGCGCTCGCTAAGATATCCTTCGACATCTCGACAGTCGAACCATTGACCCCCAAGCCCAAATGTCTCGAGCACTTTCTGTTGATTAAAGCCTGTATCCCCATCCAAGAACCTCTCAGCTATCGCCATGCTTCCAAGAATACGCCTTGGCATCCGGCGATTCGGAGGGTAAATTGCATTTCCAAATTCGTCTTTGGGCGGGTAGTGTGTCCCAGCGCCTCCGATACAATAGAATGGGAGGCCCGGTAGCTCGAGTTCATCTCCGATTCCCCCTGTCACCAACCTTTTGAAGTATGGATATGTCTTCTCCCTGTCTCGTATGCAGGATACCAATCTAAATACCCGATAGTTGGCAGTTGGAGACGAGTGGGGGTCGATGAACAAGCGAAACGCGTGCTCTAAGCAATAGCGGTGCAAGCCGCGAGTAAAACTCGTCTCTTGAAAGTAGTAGGACAGATGCTCGCTGTCTGAAAGTGGGCGTTCTACCCAACTTCGGCTCTGGATCGCTGAATGATCGTCATCCAGACTAGAACTGGAAGATGTCGAAGAGGAAACACCTTCTCCAAGCCGATTTGTAGAGTCAGGTTGTAGTACTAATCTCCGAGAAGCCACATATTCAAAGGTATCAGGTGGTGGACTGTGATTTGCCTTTTCAGATGCAGCTGGGCTCTTTTCTGGACTTTCTGACTGTGGTAGAAAGATTGCTGCACGCAGCTTATTAAGTCGCTGATAGATTGCTGGATGACTGACAGAGGCGTCATTCTCGAGGTTGGCAAATGCGTCTCGGATCTTCCCAATCTGATCTTCTAGCTCAGATACTCGCACAGTGGCATTCTGAAGAATCGCCTTCTGCTTCAACCTGTGTACTTTTTGAGCCTGTCGGAGTTGGCCTCTCCGCTCCTACTGACTGTTAGCTATAGCCCGTCCAAAAGTATTACATTAACATAAACAATCCTGACCTGGGATAAAACAGAAGCGCCTGGTGCATCTAGCCGCGGTCTACCTGGGCGTTTAGAACGGCGTGGTAGATTTTTCCGTCTATCCACTGAAGCGCCTTCCTCCGGATTAGCCGCTGAGTTCTCGTCAAGCATTTCGGTGTCGTTGGTTAATGGCTTTGTATGTTTCTTCATGGCAAGGGTACAAGGTGGTGTCTCTGAGAGCAATAGTGTATCGGTGGATTGGGCTGGAGAACTAAGATGGAGCGAAAAGTCGCATGGAAAACGTCATTCTCACGAATACATGGTTCTACTCTTCCCACAACAGAATCAGAGCCGTATAATTGAATGCTAAGGTGGTGTGCTGATATTTCCATGATATTCTAATCACTCGACGGCCTCGGCTCTCATTGCGTTGGGGTCAACTGTGTGGGTCAGAGCCAAATCTTGACTAGCCAAGCAATCGAACTTTGATTGGGTTCCCCAACAGTGGCGAACTTCTTCAGACCGTTCAGTTCTTTTTCGACTTTTGAGGAAATACTTTTGTCCGAGAATGGTAGTAAAATGTAAAAGATATTCTAGGCACGCATCCTCCTACTGGGCCAAAGACCACTATCTCTGGCCCCTTATTCAGATATCCTAGGACTAATGTATATACTAGAAGTTTCGTAAAACATGTCATAATGCAACGGGCGCAATTATCGATGACATAAAAATAGAGGGAAAGCAGAAGAGGGTGATTTCCATTACTATGGAGAGCCTGCTATATTCAAGAGAGAGGCACTGAATGAGAGATAAAGATACGGAAACTAGTTGAACCTTCAGATAGAAAGCAAAATACAGAGGGCCGGCCTGAGGTACAGACAAACAAACATGGCCTGAAACACAAGGCCTATGCCCAACCAGGCAGGCTAAGGCGGATGCCTAATTAAGCCAGCAAGATGAGGTACATCGCAAGGGACGACTCTCTGTTATCTCCATAACAGATCGGTGTATCTTCCAAGCGCCGTATGAATCTCGCCCTCGAAGCAGTTGTTGACGCCGTCCCACCCCAGTTTCAATTGAGCAACTTCCAAATCCCTTTTGCGTCTTGCCTCAATTTCTCGCCAGATTAAATGAGAAGTTTTTGTTTGGTCAGGTCCAGTGGGGTTAGAGCCCATCTCGGCATCTGTAGACGGAAGCAGGCCACATTCCTTTAGCATATTTTCTGGAGGGAATGTCTTCCTCCCTTGCTTGAACACGTATCGCGACACTGCAGACGCGAACACGCTTCGGCGCTTCTTCTCTTGCATCACGGCGTCTCCATGCTCCCTCGAACGAGATGGTATCTCGACACTATCTTTTTGGAGACAGAATTGTTTTGGTCGATAGGCGCCTCGGACGACAAAATGCGTCACGATATAGATCCATTTCTCATCCCAACTCAGAACACGCGACCAAACTTCAAATGGTTGATATGGTTTGATCTCTCTGTGGAAAACACACTGTACACCACTTAAGATCATGACTGCAGTATTGTGCGTTGGACGGAACGACAGGCGCTGGCTGAATAGAAGAAGACTAAGATTGCCCCGCGAGATATCCATGTCGGTGAAGTATGTCGAATTGGATTTGTGGATATTGTAATCGCATTCGCTCACGGGCGATCTTGTACGGTGAATGGCGGGGAGGAAGAGACATTCTGGGCTTAGCTGGTCGATAGTGACAGGGGTGATGAAGAGTCGAGTCAAAAGCGTTCGGATAAATCGAAACTGTGCATAATTTGTTAGTGACGTGATTTCTATGGGTTCGGTTATAGCAAAATACTCACATGCCATACCCATGGCAGGTTCTTATATGCAAGTAGTAAAATCACCAAAACTGCGATAACCGTTGGTGTATCAAGCGCGAAGGTAGCCATTTTATTTTCCGAGATACCAGTGAATGGGGATGACTGGAGACGAGAACACAAAAAATCCAGGAAAGGGATCCTATCTTTTGTAATAAGAATTATAATCCCAGGTTCACTTTGTTGAGAGTATTCCCAACGTACGGGTCTTGATGTCGTTGATTAGAATATCTCGGCATTCCGATTTATGCCCTACAAAGACGCTTCTGGGTATAAATAGTATTCAATTCGCGAGCAACCAGCCTTATATTATAATTATTTATACTTCTGTCTCTTATTTTGTCTCCTGTCTCACAGCCATCATGGTTAAGACGGTCCCGATTTTTAACGCCCATCAACTCGCATATCTTGCCGTGGGTTTCTCTGTAATCTATATTCTGGCAGTAAGAAAATATCGTTACCAACGAGCCCACTCTGTTGAAACAAAATATTACCGAAATGGACGTCCATTGTCGGAGATGACTGTCAAAGAAGCCCATGAGGTGGTGCGCAATCTACGGGAATTGGAATTTCCATTCTCGATGCATCTCTCTATGAAACTGTCTCTGCTAAAGGTTTGGCTTTCTAAATGTCTCGGCATCCGGTCCATTTTCTAATTAATTTCTTTTATCAGACTGGTTCGATTCCCACGATGGCCAAGTTGTTTGTCGCAACGAGACAACTGAACGACAAAAATGCGTCAAAACGTGCAGCAGATACAGAAATCATTCTGAACGAGGTTCACGACAGAGAACCAGGGTCTGACTCCCATCTACTTGGAATTTCCCGCATGAACTATCTGCACGCCCGATTCCGGAAAGCCGGCAAGATTCTGGATGATGATATGCTACATACTCTGGGCTCCGCTGTGCTCGATATTTTCCAGACCATTGGCTCAATCGAATGGCGAGATCTTACAGATGTCGAAAAGTGTGCGATTGGTGTTTTCCATAAAGCTCTTGGTGACGCTATGGAAATTCCGTTCACCAAGCTCCCGTCACAGAAGGACGGTTGGAGAGATGGGATCCATTTTGCTGAGGAGATTATGGGCTGGACATTGCAATACGAAAGGCGAGTTGCTGAGCCAACCAGCTCTACTCGCGAGATCGGACGGCAGCTCATGAATCTGGCCACATTCCATCTTCCGTCTGCGTTGAAACAATTTGGGGAGCAAATGATTGCTTCTAGGGTGGAGGGTTATATGCAGGAGAGTATGGGGTATGTATCAACGATCATTGGAAGCAACTTTTAGAGTAAACGCTGACGGTAGTGACAGGTTTCGGAAGCCAACAAACCTCCATTACACTCTGATGGGAGGAATTTTCAACATCCGAAAATTTGTTTTACGATATCTAAGTTTTCCCCGGCCAGAGAGCAAGAAAGTTCACATGCTCAGTAGCTCTCCAGACCCTGTCACCGGTCTGTACACAGCCAATTTCTGGATTGCCCATCCTTGGTATGTGAAGCCAACCTTTTCTAATCGGTGGAGCTTCAAGGCAATTTTGGCGTGGATAACCGGTGGGCCTTCTCTGACAGACGGGAGTCCATGGCGGGCGGACGGATATGACCTGAGAACTATTGGCCCGACTGCCCAGGAGAAACGCGGAGCGGATGAAATGGAGGATATATTCGCAGACTTGAAGAAGCAAGGATATGCTGGTGGATGCCCGTTTCATTCCTAATTACCAGGTCCTATATCTCTCTTCTCCCACATATTACATTTTTCATCAAAGTCGTTTTATAGTAAGGACAGTCTCCAAAATACAAGAGATCCCATCAGGCTTAGGATAGCTCCGTGTGCGGGACGGATGGCTCCGCGTGTTGTTATTTGTGCAGGAACACCGGCCTTGAGTTCAATGACTTTGAAGAAAAGCTATAAAGTTCAAACTGATCTTACTATTGAGTGACGAGACACATAATCAAAAAGATTGATGTCAAATTGTGATCATGTCGAATAGTTCAATTTATCTTAAAGCTCTACCCTCGTGGTTCGTTCAACCAGCCGCAAAATGGGCCTGGATCTCCCTTTCTGCCTTTGCTACACTCCAAGGACACTTCAATCGAACAATCTTTGATGCACCTTGGGCAGGCCAAGTGAGCGATTCCTCGCTAGCCCAAACGTAAGTAAGTGAGTGCCGCCGCTAACTCCTTGAATAGCTATGAAGCAATAGGAATAGTTCCGCTCACTTCTCCAGGTTGCAAAACATCAACACAACCGACTTCGTGGTCTATGATTCCAAATTCTTCAGTATCATAGGCGCCGAAGCCACGATTGAGCATGTCCAGAAGCTCGCTTACCAATCCCACGAGGCGCCCTGTTACATCCAAAATACCAGACAGCTGTTTTTTGTTGAATGGGGACCACCCGGTGGCGTTGATGGCATTCACAAATGGCAATATCTGCTGGATGTGGATACCAATAGCCTCAAGAAGATCGTAACTGACCCGCCAACCTTGAATGCCCACGGCTGTGTGTCATACCAGGATCACCTTTACGTTGCGACCGATGGAGCTGGAAGCAGTGAGAGCGGCAGTCTGGTGCAAATTGATCCTGTGTCTTTGAAGAAAAAGGTTCTTCTAAACAACTTCTTCGGGCAGCCGTTTGCTGGGTTTAATGATCTAGAGATGGATCGAGAAGGGAACTTCTACCTGACAGACTCTAAATCAGGATGGGTATGTGATGAAGTATTAAAATGTGCTCAGGCTTTTCTTATTTAACCGCAAACAAGAAAATTTATACTGACTTGCTATCTTCTCATAGGGCCGTGAAATCGTCAACTTCGCCCCTCCAACCAATCCATCGATCTACTTCGTCAACAACACGACAATGCAGTCGAAGATTATCTGGACAACAGACGGTAATGCAAATGGAGTAGCCATCTCTCCAGATGGAAAAACGCTGTACATTCCGGATACAGGCGTCTCCAATTTCCGACCCTCGAACAAGAATCCCTACGGCAAACGAATGTTATGGGCATTCGACATATCCGGATCAGGAGCAGTGCTCGCCAACAAGCGTATGTTGGGAAATCCATTGTCGTATTTCTATGATGGGATCCGCGCATCAAGGGAAGGTTGGTTATTTGCAGGTTCCGGTGATGGAGTGGATGTGATTGATCCGGAGACTGGATTTGTGCTGGGGAGTATTCGGGTTGGAGGGGGATCAAACGTGGCAGTGAGCCTGGCATTTGGGGAGCATGAGATGTGGATTGTTGGTAAGGGGGGAGTTTGGCATGTGAAGAATATCAAGGCTCGGTTAATGCGTGATTGGTAGGGCAGTGCTACTCTTTGATGCCACTCATTGTGACTATAGAGTAACTAAACAAATCAATTAATAGGATCTACTAAAATTGACCCCGGTAACATTCGGCCATAAGTACATTTGGTCCAAAGTAACATAAGCGTAAAGTCAGACTCCAATCGTGGCAGAAGAAAGAACTTGTGACGCATATGTCTCATAGCAGAAGACCCCCAAAGCCACACCAGCAAAGAAATCCGTGAAAATCGTCAAAAACCAGAACCATGGGATTTGAGGAACTCCTCCAAAGAAGTGAGCTGGTGTGCGGATGCCCAGGGTTGCGTAGCTGCCAAGATACAGAAGCGATTTTCGATATTTACCAGACAAGTACAGTCTGTATCCATAAAATCCGCAAAACGTGTGAAATGGATAGGAAATGAGTATTCCAATGCGATATGCTTTGGGGCTTTCGTAGATGAAAGGAACTGGAGGATAGTCTGCGGCCCGAGTGTAATTGTGCGCGTAGTGAATGGTGGTTGTAAGCATCAAACAGAAAAGGAGCATTCGCAGGCGAGGCAGTTCTGCAGAAGATGGAGGTGTAAAGGCCTCCCGAGACATGGTTATCGGGTCCTTATTTTGGGTTGTTGGTCCAAGTTGTTTGCGAGGGATTAACGTCGGTTTCAAGCGAGACGAACGAATAAGCGTACTGAGGATACAAAAGCCAATAAAGCTTACGATCGGGCGACAGAGAATATAGAACTTTCTTCAACCTGTAAATAATATTTCACAGCCACTCCAAGTAATATGCTCTTCGGTCTCACCATTGGGGGAACCCGAGGTATTAGAATATCTTTGTCTTCCGAGGGTGACGACCTGGTTATTCTAATCAAGAAGCACCTCGGTGAATTTGATCATTCAGTGACCAGCTGCCTTTGCAACATGTGGGCTGTACTGAGGATGGGCCCAGTTTGTCAAAGGGCCTTTTTGCAGTGTCCGCACAATCATAGAAATATAATCAACAATGAGCAGTAACCTGAACTTGCCGAAACTCTACCAGTTGGATCATTTTAGCGAACCTAACGCGCATTAAGAAAATAACGTCTATCTTGGCTAGTTTTCAATAACTCCTGTAGATCATTTCATGATTACAATAGCAAGGGGTGAGAATATGAAGCCTTTCAAGGTTCATTGCTACCTCGGCATATTCATGATTCGTGATTCTTCCCTATTTAAATAGCATAAATGTTCCAAAATGTGAATTGATTCATATTTGGTTTATATGCATGGTATCCCAGTTAGTTTGTTGTTGTTTCACGTCCTCAAACATATCATTGACAGCCAATGGATGACTCCGACATTACCCTCAACCGCCAAATTGGCGTTGAAGCTATACGGCCTGGCTGCTATCGCTCTGTTGTCAATCCGACACGAATGGGCAAGCTCTCATCGACTGCATTCGGAGGGAATTTGTTGGCAATTGCGGTGAATTCGACATACCAGACTGTTTCACATCTTCATCACTTATATTCCATTTGCGGGCATTTCCTCCGTCCCGCCACAACAGACCGCAAGTTGATTTGCGAGGTGCAAAATGTACGGGATACCAGGAGCTTCCAGACGCGAGTCGTAAGAGTCAGTCAGGAAGCAGATGATGGTTCGATGAGAGCGTGCCTCGTCGCATCGGCGGATTTCCATGTCGAGGAGCCTGCATCTATGGTCACATACAGCGTTCTCCCGCGATCTAGCGATTCTGCGACTCCAGTGCCGGTCAATACGAAGAGTTCTGCGCACCATGGATATGGCCTTTACAAGTATATCGAGAAATTCACGGATGTTCAACCAATCTTGTTTCAAGAAGGCGATACAGATCGAATTCCAGAGACCGCTCCGTCAGTGATATCCAGCGAAAGATTTCGAGTGCGTGGTCCGCTGGAAAGTCAGGCTGAAGAGCTGTCCGCTCTTGCTTTCTACATGGATCGAGGTCTTGCGTATATCCCTGCGGATCATAGCGGGTACGAGTTGCTAGACGCAAGTGCTTGTGCCACTTTGGATTTTGCTCTACGGATATTCAGGCCACAAATTACCCTAAAGAATTGGCATGTCTCGGAACAGCGAACTGCTGTTGCAAACAATGCCAGGGCTTTTAGTGAGGGGCGAGTGTGGGATGAGAATGGTATTCTCGTTGCCAGTATGACCCAGCAAACTATGCTGCGTCCTAAATCTGGGTTTATACCGCGGATCTGATTGACAATTCTATTCGCAAATACACGCCTCATCCTTCTAGTCCGATTAGACATCCGCCTAGGTCAGCCTAGTTGAACATACGCCTTTTGTGCAAACCATGCTTGTTTTTATGTATCTTGGGCGTTCCTCCTTCTGTTTGCTGTTTTCTGTTTACCCGCTAGTCTCTGGTTCCCGATGCCTCTCTCTTTCGATCCCTCTTTTTAGCATACGTCAGGTTCTCTCGATAGTCATTAAAGGGATCCCGCAGAACTCTGTAAAGGCCTGGCACCTCCAGGTATTGCCCCAAAGGTCCGATCGCTGTTTTGTAGCACACTTGGTCCTTTTCGTCACCTTGAAATGCATAAGGCCTATATAATTATCTTTGATATCAGGTTTAGTACATACGACCACAGGGTGTGGAGAACAGGGCTTCCCGTCCGCTCAGCCGTACTTAAGCCACACGCCGGTAAGTTAGTAGTTAGGTGGGTGACCACTAGCGAATCCTTACTGTTGTATGTTTTTGCTTCATGGCACTTTTTTTTTTTAAATGTAGAAGGGAGATAGTAGGAGGATATTATTAGGTTCGGAAGTTCTCCGATAGGTAAAAAGAAAATACCACGGTCCTACAGTAGTCCTGAACCACGGAGAACGACTCAGGGGCGCTCTAATTCGACATGTATTGCCACTCGAGTGGCGTTCCAGAACCGCCGCATTGCTTAGCCTCATTTTTGGAAAGTTTGCTTCAGGGTAAGCTGGTAAACTCAGTCTGATCATGTCGCTTCCTTCTCTGCCGTATATCAGACTTTGCATACATGTTTCTATTTAGTTGCACACTCTATGTTCTCTTCTCTGGAATTTAATTCCTCTTCTTTTCACCTCCCTCGTAAACCTCGGAAGAACCTAACAAAGGAAAACATGAGGCGAAACGACTAGCGAGCATCGGCTACATCCTAAGTTGTTTCCACTTATCCGGAACCCTGCCAATCACAACCCAAGCTCGGACTACTCTAATGCAGCAATTTCCACCGACCTCTCTAGGGAAAAGGGAAACCGCCCCCAAAACTCAGGGTCTGTCATGAGGCGTTGTTAGCTTTTTCCTTAGTATGCTTTTTCTAAGAATATTAAAACCATGGCGGGCGCCATATTTTTTCGTACCCCAATCTCTATCCACAGGCCCAACATGGCGCCTTCACACTCGTTCAAACTATACTTGTCACTCGCTTTATCTTACCTCAGTCCCCTCGTTTCCGCCGCGCCATGGATAGTAACAGAAAATTATGAGCAGGAGCTCGTAACCTACGGTTACAACTCCTTGCGCGTAAACACCTACATCCAACAAATCACCCCAACGGCAACTCTCCCCGCAGAAGCGCTATCAACCATAACATCCACCGACACAGTCTTTGGCTATACCATAGTCGAGAAACTTTACCCAACAGGGTACGGCTCCGCCGCCGCTTACGACAACGGCTACTCCGTCGACAGCGACGGCAACGTCCACAGCACAGTCTACAAAGTGAACCTCACCTTCACCGCGCCAACAGGCTGCTCAACTAAATGGACCTCAACAATCGCGGCGGAAGTCACACCCCCATACACAATTGCCAACGCTCTTCCCCGCGAAACAGGAGCCGCCTCCACCTCCGTCGACGACACTCGTCCTTTCCAACCAACAACATACTACTTCGACGTCGTCTACGTCAACCCAACCCAAATTCCAAGCCGTACCCTTTCTTCGCTAAGCTACTTTAATACTCCGACCTCTGTAGCCGGCGGCGCATCTTGCCAGTATACATCCAGCTCCAGCAGCTATTACGGCGGCGGCTATTACACCAACAACTATTACGGCGACGACTACTGGGATAACTGGTACACAAGCAAGTGGGGTCTAGGCATTGGAATCTCCGGCCTGGCATTAACACTCATCTGTGTCCTGGGCTGGATAGGCCTGTTCCTGATCCTCGGCTTCATCGAAGCATGGGTCCGATTCCGCCGTCTCATGACAGGCTGGCAGACCCGTCGCGGACTTCCGCTTTTCTGGTGTTTCCTTATCTTCCCTGTTACGCTGTTCTTCCTCTTCTGTTTCCGGAAGGGGTATCGTGCGCGCAGTCGTGAGGACGCTGAGGTTCTTAAGAAGAGGTGGGACGCTATGCCTTTCGGGACTAAGTTGAAGCTTTACTTTGTTTGGGGCTTCCGCTTTAAGTATCCGCCTATCCTGGGTCCTGCGCCTGCTAGGGTGCAGGGTAGTAAGAAGCCTAAGGATTCGGGTCCTAGGCTTTTGGATGCTACTCCGCCTGGTTCTGCTGCTGGGTCTGGGGCTGAGAGGGGTCTTGCTGGTGTTCCTGAGGTTGGGGAGGTCCAGGGTCAGCAGGGTCATGTTGTTCCTCAGTCGCATGTTCCTGATGTCGAGGCTTCGGGGCCTATTTCTGGGGCGAGGGATGAGGAGATTGGACACGCTCGTTGGTGGAAATTTCGTGTTTGATTGAGGAGGTGTGTGTGACTTTTGTTTGCAAAACGCTGATATATATATTCTTTAGTGGGAACGTCCACTGTTTCTAATCATTCATGTGTCCAATGTATGTTAATATTTAATTGATACCACGTGCTTTTCGTTCCCATAAAAATCAAACGAGTTCGCACAGTATTTTAGACCGGTTAAAAA